ATATGTAATAATGGGAAACATTAATGCATTTAATGGTTAAGGTTTTTCAAAGTTGTCTTTATTTATAGTAAATAAACTGTATAAAACATTGACTATCAAAATGTTTTTAATTTTTATTAATTTTATTCATAGCTGGCAAGGAGATGAAAAGTGGAACCAATATGCTGCTTAACTTTATTATACAAACAAAAATTAAAGGAGGAAATCCAAAAAGGCAAAACACACAGAAGCAGGGAAACCTGCAACAGCTTCACAAAAGCAAAGACAACACAACAAGGAAAATAAGGAAACAGGATACTATGGATATTAAACAATAAACTAGAAACAGGTGTACAACATAATCATTTACTATGACAACAAATGAAGAGTGGAAACATAGGTGTTCCTTTGGTTTCCCTTTGTTTTGGACTTTGTGTTTGTTTTGCACAGTCTAATCTGTCATCATGGACACTAATGTGATTTTTTATTCAGTTCAGGTGTATGTCTTCAAGTCAATTAAGCCAAAAACCATAAATATAATTAAGAAACTTGCCTGTAACAAATCTGATCGGTATAGGCCTATCTTTTCAGTCCTACTCTTCGTGAAAAGAAATCCATTAACAATGCAGCAACAAAAGTATAAATATCAGCCACAATACTGCTTTTTTATAGGGGAAAATAACTGCTGTGAGAATTTTAATGAAATAAATTTGAGAGACTTTAGTTGTTACAGGATCAGGTTACTGAGGCTGATGCCTTAAGGGAAAAGGTCAATATAATGTGCTCGTGTGGCCCTTCACTCTCGGGATTCCCTTAACATGTGTTCTAGAAATGTTTGATGAGAGTCATAGTAGCCTATACTTTTACTAGAGAAAAAGTCTAGCTGAACCTCTCAGTGTAACACACTTCATAACCACTTAAACTTAAACCACATATATTTCAGTGGCAGCTATGTTTAGACGTGTGAGACGAGTCATACTGAATGCCCTTGTGTGACCCTAATGGAATGAATCAGTCTACAGTGAACCCTTGTATTGCTGAGCCACATTACAGGACAGGGAAAGAGGAGACCCTGTGTGATCTCATGACCCTGCCACATGGAGGAGGAGGAGGAGGCTGAGATCATCTCAAAACATTCCAGCAACACAGCAAAGCCTTTCTGGACAGCTGGACAGCACATAGCCTATATGATTGGTGTGGAGGTGACCAGAGGCTGTCTAAAGATAACCGCAGAGATCATAGCAGTGGTAAAAAAAAAACCTACAAAGATAATTTAGTGTGCCATCGTCTTAATATAAAATGGAGGGGTGAGGGGCTAATTACTGCATTGGTGATTGTATTGTTGCAGTATGCATAGTATTTATTTTTGCATCCTAAAGAAGTGGTTCTCTCCACCTTTTTGACTCCAAGGCCTCCCATTCACAACAATATTCAAAGGGCCCCCATGTAGGTTAATATGTTTCTGCTCGTACATCTGCTGTAACGACAACGTTTTGTTTAAAGCTTTCATGACTTTTCCAGTTGTTTGTGATTTACTGGATATTTATGTATTTGACTATAGCTGTAAAAAGTGATCAGTTGACTTAACTAAAAAAAGTGAGGAAACCCATGAAGTTTATTTACTTAATGATTTAAGGCAACGGGTTTCCTCACTTTTTTTTTAAGTTAAGCCAACTGATCACTTTTAACAGTGTAATTATCCCAAAATCTACTTGGCAAAATATTTCAGAGCTTGCCATCACTGGAAAAATGTGTATTATAATAAAAATGCCCATGTTATAAGAATTTTACACGTCTATCACACTTTAAAATTAGGATACCTCATAGACTCTGGTTTTTCAAGACAGTGGGAACATTATTTCTTCAAATAATTCAAATAAGAAAGACCTTGATTTTCAGTTGTTTTATCTTTATTTAATTCTTGTTTCGTCTTATTTTAAAGGGATACTCCACCCAAAAATGTCATCATTTACCCCCCCTTAAGTTGTTGCGAACCTGTATGAGTTTCTTTCTTCTGCTGAACACAAAGGAAGACATTTTGAAGAACGATTGGAACTTTGGCACCATTGACTTCCATAGTATTTTTTTTTTTTTCTATATGGAAGTCAATGGTGCCAAACAGCTGTTTGGTTCCAATCGTTCTTCAAAATATCTTCCTTTGTGTTCAGCAGAAGAAAGAAACTCACAGGTTTGCAACAACTTGAGGGTGAGTAAATGATGACAGAATTTTCATTTTTGGGTGGAGTATCCCTTTAAGTAATCTAAGAGCCCCCTCATGATCCCTGGCCCGCGGTTGAGAACCATTGTCTCGAGGGGTTCATTAGTGCCCTCTTATGGTTAATATAACCACTTTTTGTGCTTCTGATTGAAATGGGCAACATTTTATATCAGCAAAATAATGTCATAGGGTACATGTGACGATTGTTCTGTTTAGTCTTATGGTGTAAGAAACTAAGACTGCCCCAATCCAGATTCCACTCCAAAATAGATGATATTCATTTCCAAAAAATTCTTAATTATAGAGAAGAAAGTCAACAGTAATGTTGTTTATGCCCTATTTGGAGTGATCAAATCCTGAGCAAATGGACACCGATTGTAGAATGGGAACAGATGTGGGAAACTGAGAGCCATTTCAGACAATGGGGTGTCTGAACTTTATTAACAAACAGACCTCAGCTGTTACAACAGGAGCAATTTCATTTACATTAGGGGTAAATTGTAACAAGAAGATAAAAGGTTTGAGTTTAGGATGTTCGGGGTTCATTCTGACTCTGACGAACCCAAGGTGCTTTATCTACTTTGTCACTGCTATGCTGCAATAAACTTTTTCTTTGAGATCTTCAACGTCCTCATAAATGTATCTTACAATGGTCTTGTTCTGTTTAGTTTCTTTGTTTCGTGTTTATGTCTGCCTGAGTCATCGTTTATTTGTTACTATGGTTTTTAGCACCTGTTCCTTGTTTCAGTGACTATCATTTCTTGTGTATATAAGCCGTCAGTTCTTGTTATTGTTTGTTCGGTGTTGTTGTGTACTCATTTTGAATCGCCTGGCGTTAATTAAAGTCTCCTTGTTTTGTCATGTGTCTTGTTGGATTACACAGACCTGTGACAGTATAAAAGCCTCCAAAAATAAGAGTAAAAATCAACAACCAGTGCAATGGTTCTCAACCGTTTTGACTCCAAGATCCCCTTTCTCTAAGATAATATTTGAAGCCCTTCCTATCTAAGCCAGTGTTCCCAGTTCACAGAAAAATGTCCATCCCAAAGCCAACTCAAAACCTGCCCAAATGGAATGCTTCCCACAAAGAGGAAGTACTTAAAATAAGTCTTTATTTAATTTATTGTTTTAAATCCCATTTAAGTGATTTTATATGTAGTTTATATATGTAGGCTATATATAATTACATGTATTATTTATGTGGGTTGTGGGTAAAACTCACAATCTCTATTTAAGAAAAGACACCAACCATGCCCCCCACACATCTCTCCTTCGCGCAGTCGTTCTTTCAACGGTCGATATTCAAGGATCAATAGACATTAGTAAAAGGATTTTCATTTTTCTTTGTCTAAAGCAAAACATTTTCGTGGCCACAGTACATTATAAAAGTAGCCACCCAGAAAAAAGAAACTCTGTCATATTTCCAGGGACTGCATTTTTAAAATAGTCCAACTGTGCTAGACAACCGAGTCAATGGCAACACTAATCTAAGCTGATATGTAGGCTACCTCTGCTGTAATACACCTTTATGTTTAGTGTTTTTTTAGCATTATAATTATGATTATGTTAATATAACTACATTTAAGTCATTTTATGACATATTGGGGCCCCCCTAGTTTGCTGAGCCCCCCTGGTTGAAAACTATCACCCTATGGTAACACATTTAGTGAGAAGTAATAATAAATAAAAAATATATATATATAAGACAGTATTTTAGGGGGCCATAAAAACAAAGTGTTAACAGATATTAAGCAGACAGTGTACTGATACTCTAATGACTGGTAGTTCACGTGTAGTGTCAAAGTTACGTATAGTTAGTAGTAACATTTCTAAAGTGGACCATCAAAATAAAGTGTTACCGTGTATTTTACTGTAAGTGTTTTTCAAATGAACAAAGGAAGGGGATTTTCATTGTTAAAGCTCAAGAAAGCAGCAGACTGACAGCCTATTATTTGGCACCTGCAGTGGATTCCTTAAGACTGACGTTGCTCTTTCCCATGATGTGACTGACAATAGCAGACTGCTTAATTGAGGATGGGCAATGCTTCATATGGATGACTCAACTACTCAAGTGAAGATAAACCACCCAATACCTCATTTCAGTGCACACAAAATCCCATTTTATTATTATACTGAGCTCCAGAGTTTATGAAGGAAATCCAAATATATCCTTATTTTATTAACATTCCCTTAACATCCAAACAAAACAACATTCATTTTGTTTTATGACAAATGGAAGTTTCAGGTAGACTTTTACAGTTCATCTGACATTTAAAGGCCTATATTTCTTTTTAGGTTTAATATTTTCTGGTTGCTGGGTTCCCTGAATGTTCTGGCTACGCATTTTACAGGCTTAGAAAGAAATCTGCTTTTAAAATTACACAAAAATAGTGCTTCTAGACCTGATGGGAGATGTTTGTTCAAATCCTTAAGTACTAATCTGTAAAAAAGCTGACTTTTACTTTTCCCGTGCACCAATATGCTAAAAAAGGAGTAAGGCTGAGAAAAGGTGAGAGAGTATACGAAACAGTAGACGCTGGATTCAGGCTACACACCTGCACAGGTTAAACAAAACAGGCACGGAAAAGACATCCTTTGAATTGACAAACATGACACCTGATCCGTAGATCATCAGCCAGTCTGACTAAATGAGCTCTTGCAGACTGCTCCACCTGAAAAACGACATGTCAGTAACGTGATGCCTTACTTATATAATGCGTCTCTCCAGTACAGGACTGATGCAGGACTGAAGAGGATGCTCAAATCCACCTGCTCCATCATAGGCTACATTAGATACAGCACTACATAGCAACCTTATGCGCAGCAGTTAGACTAAACTAGAAAACGGATTTTAAGATTAAAACTAAGTGGAAAACGACGATAAGTGGTGTAGACAACACAAACGAGCGGATTAGTGGCATTTATGAGAGGAGCATTTAGCCCTGCAGACACTGATCCACAGCACCGGGAGGCAAGATGCCAGTTCAGATACCGGACGACACCGATTTCTTATCTTTCCGAGAACAATGTGAAAGTCAGGATGGCTGGGTCGCCCGTTATAACAAAGGAGTAGTGACGGTGTGGTGTAGAGACGAGGAGTGCAAAACTGTGCAGAAACTCAAGGCAAGTGCGTTGCAATGCGGATACTAGTTTGTTTACACTCTGCTTTCAGTCCACAGTGGCATCCGCGTCTAAAATGCGACCAACTCTAGTATATTTTGCGATGTTAGGCTACATCATCAGTGACTTTGAATAGCCATAGTCTGTATATGAACAAATTGAATATGAAATTCGTTTTTATCTTTTTTTTTTGCTTAGTAAACAAAACCTTGAATGCAGTGTATGGTAGCTAGGCTATGGCAAGCTGTTTTAACATGTATTCTTTATAAATGCTTTTACTTTTTTAAATACTAGTAATCCAATAGTGACTAGCCTATCTGCTCAATTAGTCACTAGTAGGTCTAATTACTTATTAAATACCAGTAGACCTACTTTGTTACACAAATTGCATATTTTGCCATTGAATTCAAATGGGATCTGTGGTTCAGATATTCACTTCCAACTTTTATTCAGTTATTATTCATCTGTTTCAACTCTGATAATAATGAAAAATGTTTCTTGAGAATCAAATCAGCATATAAGAATGATTTCTGGAGGATCACGTGACACTGAAGACTGGAGTAATGATGCTGAAAATTCAGCTTAGCCATCACAGGAATAAATTATATTGAAAAATATATTACAATATGTAATAGATATAGTAATATTTCACAATATTGCTGTTTTTACTGTATTTGATCAAGCAAATGCAGCCATAGTGAGCATAAGAAAATTCTTTCAAAATAATCTTTAAAAAATGTCTTACCGTCCCCAACATTTTGAATTATAGTGTATATTACTATTAGTGTATATTAATTTTGTTGTTGTTGCTGTAAATGAGCTAGTTTTTATTAGATATCTACTTCAGCCTCAACCAGTATGGTGCATGAAATCAGGGTATACAAAATTTAGCATGTGAACCAAAGACTTAAATATACATTGCTTGTGGAACAGCAGTATGTCAATGTGTGCAGTGCAAAAAAAAAAAACCCACACATTGTGTATAAACTACAATATATCTTATAGGCTCCTGACCAGTAGCTTTCCTCACAGACTCCAGAACTTTTTCAGAGAAAATCTTAGAGAAACAAACAGAGATATGGTTATGGGCCATTTGCCCAGGGGAAACTCAGTGTACAGTGAAGCAGGCCAGGCCTGACTGCTTCATGATCCACAGTCTCTGAGATGAAAGACAGGTCTCTCAGGAACACACTGCACCCATGAGATGTGCTGAAAAATTAAGAGTGGAAAACTGTGGTAACAGCAGGCTCAGATGAGGAAACCTGAGCCCCTCCTGCTGTCTTAGCAGAGTTTGGCTCTTTTTCTGTGTTTTTTTTGTGTAAAGCACTTCTGTTGACCTCTCTGACAATGGCTAAAAGCTGTCCCGATGTGAGGACCTATATGCATGAGGGCTGTTTCAGCAACGTTTCAGGCAGGTGTTGTTAAAATTATTTAGACCCGTTACGGCTGCAAAAATGAAAGAAGATGACAGACCTTCTTCAATTATTCACGCAGCTCTCCGGGGCACTGATGCGTTCTTTTCATGAATAATTGAGCTTTGTAGGCTTTGACGACATTCCATTCATAGAGACTAAATAAAACTTGTTCCAAGGAACCCAATGGCAATGAGGAGGGACTGATCAAGCTGGGGTTGTAGGGGGTTGGCTATAAATTATTAAATGATGCCAGGGTAGAGTTGATTGAGTTACACGGTTACTTGCGTCGCGGAGTCATACAATATCTGATCACATTGCATTTTATGTATTCATGCTTACCTGACCCTCCTCCCAACCCAGACAGAGTTAAAGGATAAGGTAGCTACAGTATACCTGAAAAAAAAAAAAACCCCAGCAGGTTTCACTCGACACAAGCTACATGTAAGCTTGAAATGCAAATGCAAGCCGACATGTTTAAATGTAAAGCTCCACTGTATCTCTCACTCTACTGAAGATCCTTTTATACTCACTGTTTGCTGTGTCAACTTTTACTCTTTGTGACCTGACATGGCTGAGTCACCCAGAAAGCAGGGCTTTTAAAGATAAGGGAATGAATAGATCGATGTATAAATGGCAGCTGGCCTTTGTCAGCACAGTGAAATGCTTTCATTTTTCATCTGCCCGGTAACAGAATGCATTCAAAATCTGTCAGCACTTTATCACGGCAGCACCACAGGGGAAACTACAGGAGATTTTTCAACGCTGAACACACTTTGTGAACTTTGTATTCAACTGCAATGGAAAAGTTCTTAAGATTTGAAAGAGTCAATGAGACTGTCTGTTTTTCCTCTTAGATGAGAATCGTGTGCAAGGACGTGACAGCAGAGACTCTCTACGACGTCTTGCACGACACAAGCTACCGGAAAAAATGGGACTCCAACATGATCGACACTTTCGATATTGGAAGACTGACAGCCAATGCAGACGTAGGATATTATTCCTGTGAGTCACTACTTTTTTCTCTGTGTTAGAACTGAGCACCAGTACACTTTTCATTTTATTATTAAGCCAATATTTGTGATAGTTGTGGGTGTTTGCAGTACATTTAATGATAAATAACTTCATTGTTTTTTTTATCTTTGAATAATTCTAATGTAGTGCTCTTTGATATACTGTGCATGAATATCAGCAATAATTTATAAAGAGACATGGATAAGAGTAATTTAAAGCAATAAGACAAGATGATTCAATTGCAAAAGAGGGATGAAAGAGTATTAAAAGACATACTGCTATTCTATACTGCAATAGATGCCATAAAAATCATTTTAAGAAAACAAGAAAATTATGTTTCAAGTTTTCTTGTCAGAATATCTTACATCTTGTGAAAACAACATCTTATATACTACAAGTGTTAGACTTATTGTATACCACATGAAATTATTATGCATTGGTTCAAGTTTACCTTCTTGTCTTTCCATGGTTTAACAGGACTCTAAATCTTGCCCTTGTGTATTTACAGGGAAATGTCCAAGTCCATTGAAGAACAGAGACTTTGTCACCATGCGGTCATGGCTTCCTCTTGGCAATGACTATCTGATAATCAACTACTCTGTCAAACACCCGGTATGTCTGTGTTTGGTCTGGATTGTTCCGTCTGTAGGAGCACTGATTTTATTAAACATTTTGGCACAGCCAACAAATATAGTCCAGAACAGTATGTCAGATGGTATGTAGGTCAGCCTTCCAGGTCTTGAGTCGCTTGAAACAGAAGAGGCCAGATCAGTGACAAAAGTCTGACAGAGGTATCAATCACGCTGTCGGGTGACCGAATCCCCATGTTGTAATGAATAACTACATGTCTAGCATCAACAGGCTTGTGTCTTCTTCCCTTATCTTCTCTATTTAAAATCTTACTCAAGATGTTGATTTCTTGCTTTTAAAGGGGCATATTATGCAAAATTCATTTTACTTAATGTTTGAACATAAATGTGTGTCGACTCGGCAGTGTGTACGCAACCCCCCCTATAATGGTAAAAATCCCCCCACTCCTTTTTTTAATCCCCATAAATCATAAGCAGTGTCTCAGAATAAGCCGTTTGAAGTTTAAGCGCAATAAGACGTGAAAGATAACTTTGTTTAATATTCACGGGACGCGCCGTCTTACATCCAGCTCTCTGAGCGCGTGCTTCGGATGTGTACGCTCAGAAAACCATGTATCAGAAGTTCACACTGATATGGCTTTAAAAGGCATGCAAATAAACAACTTTCATGATGATGAAGAACTGCAATGTCACATGAGCGATACCGCGATAGAGAGGATAATCAAAACCAAACAGATGTTTTAGTTTTTGGCAGAGTATCTGAGCTGTACAGGCTCCACCCTCTTCTGGACTGGGGGTTGGGGAGCAGCAGCTCATTTGCATTTAAAGAGACATGCACAAAAACAGCATGTTTTTCCTTCCACTCAAAAATGTATAATAAATTATCTGTGGAGTATTTTGAGCTAAAACTTCATAGACACATTCTGGGCACACTTATATTACATCTTGTAAAAAGGGGCATAATAGGTCCCCTTTAAATCGGAAATAAATCGGTTAATTATACGGCTCTCTTCATTCTGATTGGTCAGTCATGCTAATATTGGCTGTCGACCATGGCAATGCTGTGTATCCTTTAATCCGGTTAACTGAAACCAGTGTTTCATGCAAACATATTCTGGTGCTATCTTATGTCTTAGTTATCATTTTTTTTTTGTCAAATTGACCTCTAAGGATTTCAGTATTAATACTAACTGCAATATTGTTGAAGTGCTTGTCTTGAAGTGATTGCTAGATTGCTTGATTATTTTATACGTTGTAGCAATTATTTTCCAAAGGCTGGAATACACTACACAACTTTTAAAATCTGAACAGAACACTACTTGCTGAGTAGACTTTGTAAATGTTTATACAGAGAAAAGGCCCGTTTCCACAAATGACGGTCGGTAACTATAACGATATAGTTCGAAAAAGAATAGCAGAGTCCACACCACAACTATAACAATTACAGCACAGAGGAGGAACGATATCGTTGGAATCCCTTTCACAATGTTTTTTTTCCAGCTGATGGATGATAAAATCATTGACAGCCAATCAGAATCCATCCTGCATTAAAGAGCTTGAACATTTAAAGCTGACATAACGAGATAACTGCAGCGCAAACTTATGATAAACAGACCTGTAAAGATAACTATAATAACGATAACTAGCGTCAACATCAACAGCGGGTGATATTGTTCTGTTTATTCTAGGCGCGCCCTGCAGTTTTGTCGTCGGCCGCTTTAAATGCTTGAGCTCTTTGGTGGATTCTGATTGGCTGTCATTGTTTTTATCGTTCATCAATCATTCTCCAAAATTTTTTTTTTTTATTCCAAGAATTTTCAATGATGCTGTTTATCTGTGCCATTTTCGTTATTTGTTATGTGGACTCTGCTATTCATTTCACGTGTATGCTACATTGGCTATTTATTAATTTTGTGCGTAGCCATATAATAAGCTTCACTTTAGAGTTTATTTTGCAATAACAACAGACTCTACTTAATACCTCAGCTGTTTAGGTCAAATAATGGTCAGACTGTTTGTATATTTTATCCATTCTTACAAATTTAAACATTCGCTCATTCCCATGAAACTAAACTCTCATTGTTGCTATTTTTTTCAGGAATATCCACCAAAGAAGGATTATGTCAGAGCTGTGTCGTTACTCACTGGGTACTTGATCCAATCCAACGGAGCAAACTGCTGTACTCTTTATTACTTGACGCAGGTGGATCCACGAGGTAAACATTTCTCAGTATCATTTACGGGAAAAAACCAATAAATAAATAAAGGTTTCACTTTTACGCTGGAGTCACAGTGTCAGATCGCCCCTTCTTGTGGTGGAAAAGTACACCATGAACATGAGTGTTTACTTGACACTTACACTGTTTACAGTTTCAGGCCTGTAGAGTTATTGCCGTATACAAGAACGTCATATCATTTTAAAGAGCGGCGCAGTTTCATCATGGTGCGGAAATGCATGTGTTTAGAATGAAATTGTATTTCATGGTGTAATTTTATGTAATCTCTTTTAGTCCTGGCCATCTCCATTTTTCTTCTTCGTTCAAGTATGCTCTTGTGCTGTACAGAGTGGGGAGCCAGGAAGCCTTTGAAACTCCTACTTTACACATATTTTATGAATTTGCTGATGTCATCTTTTCCATGCTGCTCTGGGCGATGGCTTTGATTATTAATGTCTTCCGTTGCTGTGATGCACCAGCTGTTTGTGACCTGTGGGACAGACACTTTTTTTCAGTTTATTGCAGTTGTACAGTACACTTCAGGGACAGAGAGACAAAATTACAGTATACAATGTCCATGAAATGGGTTTATGACAGCCGTGTATAAAACACCCTCAAACTTTCATTTTATTGTATTTCCCTTGCAGTGCTGCTGTGCATTTAGGATACACAAAATGCATTCAGGGGTGCACACCTTTTTATGACATTTATGGTGATATTTGCATTTTTTTTTTTTTACTGCAGAATATATTGTTTTAAAACTTTATCTTGATTTATTTTCAGGATCTTTACCCAAGTGGGTAGTGAACAGAGTCTCACAGTTTGTGGCACCAAAGGTAAGAGCTAAGTGCATCGAAAGATTTATTATGTAAATAAATGATTAAAAAAATATTGTGTAAATACAATAACAGTTCAGCATTCTGAGATTCTAAATACATTTTTGTATTGTTTTTGTATTACAAAGTATGATACATAAACTTTGGGGTTGGTAGGATTTTTTTAAATGTTATGCTCTTATACAGTAATATTGTGAAATATCATTGCAATATTGGTCGATAGTGTATGGCAAATTTTCAGCGGATTTCAGTTACATATGTACACTACTGTTCAAACATTTGTGGTCTTTTAATATTTTAGAAAAAAGTCTAATGCTCACCAAGGCTGCATTTCTATAAAAAAATACAGTAAAAACAGTGAAATATTACTACAATTAAATATTATTCATATTATAACAATTAAAACAAACCGTTTTTTTATTTGAATATATTTTAAAAACAAATTTATTCCTGTGAGGTCAAGTTACTGTGCTGATTGTTTGCATCACTCAACAGTCAAGCTCAGGTTGGCAATAAAAAATTTCAGTTTTCCTTTGCTGCCATCTGGTGGTTAGAAATATGCAGATCATACAAGATTTTCTGTAATAGCCACAGAATGTTAGTAAAGTTAGAGGAGCACAACAAATGCATGGTCCAGATTTTTCAACTTCTTTTTTTTTTTTTTTTTTTCTTCACAGGCCATGAAAAAGATTTACAAAGCCTGCCTAAAGTACCCAGAGTGGAAGCGGAAACACGACCCGAATCTGAAGCCGTGGAGGTACCCGGAGCAGAACACGCTGCCCTGCATCAGTGTAGCTGACCTGACGGTGCAGAGAGCAGATTCACTGGAGAACATCGATGAGAGCTGTGTGAATGAGGAGAAGGCCCAGCACCACAGTGATGATGATGAGACCTAAGATAACTCACAGTGACTCTCCTTGTGTTCTGTGTGCATGTGAAAGTGAGTGTGTCTCATTCTCAGATGAGGATGGTTCCCTTACATTTACTCTATAAATCATACACTCATAACAATATAGTGTTTTGCAGAGATTTAAAGACCTCCATTCTATGTCCACACATTGAAGAAGAGTCTGGTTGAATTAGACATGTTTAAAACTTTTTATAGTGTATGATGAACTCATTCAGTATAAAACGTCTTACACAGTACATACTCCGGAAGTGTAGCTTTATTACTCTAAGTTTCAGCTCACAATATGAATGTCATTTTATTAGCCTACTTATACACTTAAAAATAAAGGTTCTTTATTGGCATCTGTGGTTCATTGAAGAACCTTTAACATCCATGAAACGCTTCCATTCCAGAAATGGTTCACTATAGTGTAAAATGTTCTTTAGATTACTAAAATGTTCTTGGTTCAAACCTATTTTTTTTTTTTACAGTCTATGGTTCAAACTGGTTCTTTTAAGAACTGGTCACTGGAAGGAAGGTTCTTTGGGGAACCCAGAATGGCTAATCTATGGCATCACTGGCAAACCCCCTTTTTGGAACCTTTATTTTTTAAGAGTGTATGGAGCACAACTCATTCTGTCAAGCAGTTATATAACTTATAAAACACCATTTTTTTTCCAGCCCTGCATTCTGTGGTGAGATTTCCTGTGTGAGGTTGCAGATAGCAAGGACTTCCTTAAACGTTCCTTAAAGTGACAAAAATCTGCCTTGAAGAGACCTCAAGGGCTGCAAAAATCAGTTATGTTTAGTACATTCGAATCTCTCTGTGTGTGCTTTTGACTCCATGGCATTTTTCTCAATGTATTTTCTTGAGAATAAAAAGTTTGTATTTCTAAAACTAGTTTTTTTTTTTTTTTTGTATAAACAGCAATTGTATCTAAAAAGTTAAGGAAATTCTATTTAGTATTTTTATATATGACCATTTAGCCACTTTATCCATCTCAGCTTTAAATATTTGTTATATTTGAGTAGAAATGCTTTCCTCTTTTTTTTTTTTGGCAATAAGGAAAGTTTATTCAAGATGATATCCTTTTTCTTCATCCATAAATGTACAGCTGGGGACCACTCCTCAAAACCTCTATTGTCTCAGACACTTCCTGCTTCCCATTTGAAACAGTTCCTGCCTACATCAATCAGATTGGGCTGTAGGGGAGAAAAGGAAACTTCATAAGTGAACCCTCCGGCTTTCTCTCACAACAAAAGTCCTATTGCTTTTGCTGCACAGATCAAGCCTCTCTTCACATCATCTTCATTTTAAACCTAAAAGCACCCAATTGTAAACTTTCCATGACGTCACTAATATGACAGTATGAGATTTTAACTGTAGGGTTTGCATATATAGGCTATTAAGTGTTAAATAGTGTTAAAATATTATTTAGATATGTGCATAATATGATACACAAAAATGATAATAAAGTACAGTTACACACACAACATTTAATGTTGTCGAGTTTAGCTAAAACGGTCAGTGTTGATGATTTGTAGGCTAAACTAGACAGCTAGCCTTAAAGCCCATGGTGCAGGTTAAACACCATCACTGTCGATTAATGGGTACATAAAGCAGTTAAGATATGTATATAAAGTTAGAAATGTCTCCAAAATGGTGTTAAAGTCCAGTTTTTGAAGTTTTTGGTTAGCGGTTATTTTTTTACACGACTTGGCGATGACGTCACATGAGGTAGACAGGCAGCGGCACGCTTCAGAATCGGTTTACAGTTAAAGAAAGGGCAGTAAAAGAAAGAGAAGTGACATTGGGGATGGGACAAACCCACCCAAATAAGCTTCGGTTATTGTTTATTACCAACTAGAAAACTGGCAAAAAAAAAAAAAAAACCTGCACCATGGCCTTTAATTGTTGACGATTCGCCCGTGCTTGTGGTAACGTAGTCTTTATTTTGTAACTGGTTAAACATTAATTCCTGTGTGTAGTTTATATTGCAGAACAACACGCGAAAGTTTCTTTGCGCAGTCTAATTAGCCAAATGCTAACCACAAACTTATTTTACAAGAAAATCATACACCGCCATTCTAAAAAAGCCATAGGAAATTCCTGAGGGAAAATGTTTTATAGCTGAAACACATAATTTCTCCATTAACGCATAGGCTAATTCTTTATTTTAGATGGAAGAACAACTTCACCATTCTTTATGTGGTTAATTGTGTATTTTCGAAACTGTGATAGGCCTAATTAGGTTTTTGTGGCCTGGCCAGCGCTACACGTAGATAAACAATCGGCGTCGCTGTCCCTTTAAGAGCTCAGAGTTAATTCTCAGCAGCAGCGCTGTGCGTGCACTGAATCTCCGGCATAACAAACACAACTATCAGCCGCTCAACACTCAAACTTTCTCCAGCACTTCTCACATTACTGGAGTTTAAAACGCTCCGCATCAACACAACGCGATGTCGCGGAATATGTAACGCCATCTAATTAAGGTAAGGTAATCATTTTACATTCAAACTTATATTTGACAACATCTAACAAGCTGTCAGATAGCAGGCAGTTTTATTCATATCTGAAGGCTGCCCAGTGTGTAGTGCCAAGTGTGTGTACACAGTAAGATCTTCTAACATTTAGTGAGCGTTTATTATACAACTTTATTTAAAACTCGTTTTTCATAGCACATATCTCTTTGTGGTCTGAAATCATCCCAGACCTTGTAAAGAAGGTGAACGGGCTGTAAAGTAAAGGTTATTTTTTAGTTAAGGTCGTGAGTTTAACTATTACCCAGAGTGTTGACTGTTCAGATGGAATTTCATTGATTCTCATCAGGATCAGCAGTGCATTCAATCCTCGTGTATTGCAGTGTAACGAAAGATTTGCTCTGTAGGGTGTTGCTCACTGAGGAATCCGATACCCAGAGGCTTTACGCTCGCTGAATGGCACAGTTTAGTTTAAACTGAATTAGAAACACTCCGAGCTAATTTGCCAGTTCCTTACAGACACAACAACTGTGGGAGTCTCCAGGGAATTTGCAAGAATAACATGCCATTTTGAAGGTCTCTGCAGAAAACATGTTCATCCAGCAAGTGTATGCCTGATGTCGAGGAACTCTACGTGCACCCCCCACTTTTTGAGAGAAATCATTACTTTTAAAGTACAAGTGTGCACTTTTTAAATTGTTCTTGTACCCCTATATGCCATAGGCCTATGTCTAACTGAGCAGATTAGGTTCTCACAACATGGACGAGTGTATTAATTGTGATAAATCTCTTGTTACATAATCTGACCTGTATTTCCCTCTGTGCTCTTCATGACACTTGGAGGATGGGAAGTATATTCAAATCTAGAAGAGATTTGACCTTTGGAAAAGGTTCTAGATTTTTAATGTCAAGCGTACAATCTAATCCAGTGATATTTTTTTGTATGATTGTTATTGAAATAATGCAGTCATTTAGTTCATCTGATTAATTAAAACATTTTTTTAGGGTTATAATAACAGACAAAATGTGTTAGGCTGTATACGAAATATAATATAATATAACATTCAAAAGTTTGGGGTTGGTAAATAATTTTTTCCAATGATTTTTGAAAGAAGTTTCTTATGTTTACCAATCCTAAATACTAAATAGAATAAAACCGGTAATATTGTGAAATGATATTACAATTTAAAATTGAATATATTTTAAAATGTAATTTACTCCTGTAATGGCAAAATTGAATGTTCAGCATCATTACTCCAGTCTTCAGTGTCACACAATCCTTCAGAAATCATTCTAGTTTGTTGATTTGCTGCTCAAGAAACATTTCTAATTATTATCAATGGCGAAAACAAGTGCTGCTGAATATTTTTTTAATGAAAACTGTTACATTTTTCAGAATTCTTTATAATATAATATCACAACATCCATCTTTCTATCAACACATTGCACAAATAAATGTCAAATACAAATGTAAAATATACTCTAATAAGGCACTGAATTGTAAAGAAAATACAGTAAATAAATAAAACAAACATAGTAACATAAAACAAACAAGTTTTAAAGAGAGAGGAAGATTGTAGTGAATGTGTTTGCTTGCGTTTTGATGTACTATATGCATGCATTGCCTGCTACAATATTTGTATATTTGTTAGTTCTCTCCATTTTTGTTGGACATTAAATCATCTGATATGACTTAGGCTAAATGTGAAAGCGAAGGTTATCTAGCAGCAGTGTGGTTTCAATGCAGTTAGGGAACTGAGATCTGAATATGTGTTTGAGCAGAGGTCCAGCATATTAAAACACAAGTGTGTTCTGTCATCTCAGCTACGCGGCCTCCACCAGTTGTGAACAATGACGTATTGTGTCACACAATAGTGCTTCACTGTTATTTATACACCCCCCCCAGCACACTGCATCCCAAAAGCCTCCTTGATTCCTGCGTTTCACAAATTGCTTTCGACTCTACAGCTTCCACTAATTGTTCGTTCTGGAAGCCCAGGGATGTTTGAGTAGGATATGAGAGGGAAAGATGTTTTTCTCGTTTGGCTCCATCATAACCCACAGAGCAATGCAATCAATGAGTCTTGAAGCATGTTTTTTCATTAATGAAAATAAAAACAACAACAAATGATCATGTGTAATAATAATAATAATAATAATAATAATAAACACTCTCATGAGACTGAATTACACTAGCCGAGGCTTTATTTGTGAATGTCTTCACTTCCTGTTGCATGTATTGCCTAGATGTACAAAATCTCTAAAGTCTAAAGTGGTTTGAATCTCTGGAGAATATGAAACTTTTGGAATGCAAATAGTAATTTTCTGCTGATAAAGATTGCTGTTCAGATAGCAACCCAAGATCATTCAGGGCTCATTCTGTCAGATACATATTATTTCCCCTTCCATAAAGTTCTGGACAACTAGTCCATTCCATTCCATTATGGTTTGAGAGAGTGTTGTTTTTCAAATAAACTTGAATAGAGTGGGTGGAATTGAAACACAGCTTTTAAATGGTTCCCAAACAGGGCGTACAGTATGAGTTGCCATCACCGTTGGTATTAGTGGGACTTATGCATAAATAAAAATGGGAAGACAAGACATGCATGAACAACATAAGTAATTCAAAATGAAATGCATGTTTTGCTTGAGTTACTTGATTTTTGGGAGACCTGCCAAAATGTCTGCAGACATGAAAAATCTAGGTTGCAGAAATACCAGCTTAAGAGAGCTTAAAGGGCTAGTTCACCCAAAAACTTTTAAATTGTCATCAATGACTAACTCTTAAAAATGGAGTATCACAGAAATGATCACACTCTAAGTATTGATAAAGTGTGTATGTGTCCAATTGGTAAAATTTTAATCTTCATGCAAAGGAACAGTTGTGAACGAAAAGTGTGTGGTAATGTTTATGTAATTTTCTATAGTGACTGTGTACGTTAGAATATTAGTGCAAGTCTTGTTTACTCCCTTCATTACAAGAAAACATGCATCGTCACTGGCTTCATTTGGTAATACTATTTTGAAAGAGTGCAGGAAATGTGTATATGAGTTGCTCTTTTATTGCATAAACTCAATGTGTTTGTTGCTGTCCCTGTGACCACAAAACACCATCTTATTCTGTTTGCAGCTTTGGTGTCTGGCATTTTGATGTCTGTAAAAAATGGTTCAAATTTCATTTATTTTGATGGTTTAAAAAATCAGTTGAGCTTGTCAAGGTCAGCATGTCAAGGACACAGTCTGTATATTCTTTTCATGGAGACCAGCCTGGTCTCATTGTTTATATATTCGTAGTAGTACGTAACTTTTAGACACAAAACATACACTTTTGTATGTTTTGATTGATGCTGAAATGTACAATATAGATCTATTGACAAAATCCAAAACTTAAACATGATTACGTTTTTTTACTGGTATAAAAACATAACATTTAAAAATCTTTTATCTTTAAATTATAAATATAATTGTATTGGATTTTATTTTATTTTATTTTTTTACCATTGTATAGATTATATTTTAGATCCCTTAACCCTACACCCAAACCACTTTTATAGAGAGTATAAAAAATTTAACTGGGCTGGCAGAAAAATGTAAATGACATATTTAGTAACAGAATAATGTGAAATAAATATTTTGAGCCCTTAATCCCACTCCTACCTCTAAACCTAACCCTAACAGTTTCTGTATGTAAACGGCAGTACCAAAGCAGCCCAAACGACAATGTGTTGGGTTCTCAATACTCTCTTTAAGTTGTTAATCCTTGAATATCTTATCCTGATCCACTCCGTGAAGACACGCACAACTCATTGAAATGCATATCACCCAAAACACAGCATGTCGCAATCGATGACAAATGCCCTGTCCCAAATGGCACAGTTCAAATGCACTTACGATCTTGTGGACTTACAATGGCCACCGCATGATCGTGAAGTCCACGAGACCATAGGGTGTCCCATTTGTCATTGTAGGTTTCAGAAGGGTGCTCTTCCTGACAGTCAAAACCGCATTAGGCCTACATCATGAAAGTGCAGACTCGTAGGAAGACTGAGTGTTTTGGGTGCCATTTGGGAAGTCCAAAGCAGGCGAGGGCCAATGAGCCTGTGATATCACTACGTAAACTAGAGCTGCACGAATCTGGATAAATTGAGAATTACGATATTTTTTTTTAACGATTCTGACCAGACAACTAAACAAAATAACATGTAATTTACTAGAGGTTTTGACAAAATGTTAATTGCTGCAGTCTATTAAAATGTTTCTATTAATTTGAATGAATTATTTAAAAAATCAGTTTGAATGACTCACTCATGAAGACTTCACTTGTTTCATTACTAGATTAATCAGACCTTTTAAAAAAATCTCTTGAATGAATGATTCAATGACAGACACATTTTTTAACAGTTACTTTAAATGATTAAAGGAATAGTTGACCCAAAAATTCTGTCATTAATTACTCACCCCTCATTCCAAACCCGCAAGGCTTTCGTTCATCTTTGGAACACAAATGAAGACATTTTTGATGAAATCTGAGAGCTTTCTGTCCCTCCAGTTACGCAGCTACCACTTTGACACTTCAAAAACTAGATAAAGGGATCGAAAAACGAATCCATTATCAATTGAGCGGTTTAGTCCAAAATTTTCTGAGGAGACTCAATGACTTTATATGATGAATGGACTGAAAGTTCTCAGATTTCAAATTTTTGGGTGAACTGTCCCTTTAATTCCATGAATTTGATTAAATAAGTATTCGTGAAGTATCTGTGAAGTTGTTCATACATAAATAATTTACATTTCAGTTTGTCAATAAATATCAATGTTGTACATTTTAGTGTAAATGCTAATTTACATGGTTTGGTTTTACCATACATTACATATGAATGCTCGTGAGATCACGTTGAACCTGCTATGGGTTCAGATGGCTGCGATGATCTCCTCTTTGTATCATGCACGTTCTCTTTTTTTCCTCTAGAGTGGGAGAGGAGGAGGGTTTTGTTTGAGGGACAGCTGTATCCTGTGTATTCAGTAGTTCGGAGAAAACCCAGATCGGCCATTAAGATAAATATAGTTAGGGCAGGGCGGACAGAGCAGAGCAGGGGCACAGTTTTCCCAGCAAAATACATGTTGATTGTTGTTTGAGATGGTGGCCATCTTGCTTTGTTTACTGGCTCAGTCAAGATGTGGAGGATGATTTGAAGATACAGATATGGTGTTGCTGGAATGAGATGGTTATGGTGTCCTGCTGGTTGCCTTGCCATCTCTAGACCTTCATCTACGAGAACAGGCCTGCCCGAGACCGTCTCAAGCGACCCTTCCCCCGGCATCCTCAGGTCACAGCATGGAGGGAATGCGGTCATTAGACAAACACCAACCCGTTTATAGTGCGTCATTCCTCTGCGACCATGACAGAGTTTTCTTATAAGGCTGTAGGGTGTTTTGGATGGTTACTTACTGGCTTAAGTCAAAAAATTATATTTGACCGCTCCTGAATCTTCAAAGCCTATAGATTTTTTTTTTTTTTAGACCATTTAAAGGGTCGATTAGGCAAAAACTGTAAGTCTGTAAGTAATGTCAGTCTGGTTGCTCTGTACCCGTAAAGCAAAAAGTAATGGCATACCTTTCCTCAACAAGCATGTTTTGAGGTATCATTCATGTTTGTCTGAATTCTGTCATCATTTACTCACCCTCATGTTGTTCCAAAACTGTATGAGTTTCTTTGTTCGGTTGAACACAAAAGAAGATATTTTAAAAAATGTTGGTAACCTAACCAGACAGTTGATGGCCATTGACTTCCATATGATTTTTTTTATTCCTATAATGGAAGTCAATATTTGAACTCTGTCAACAAAGAAATGTACCTACATGTAAATGTAAAATCGGCTATTTGGCAATATTTTGGATTCAAATCAAATGCTAATAGGGAACCTGCAAACATTAATGAAAGTTCTATGTTTAATATAAGCGAGTTTGTCATTGTACTGTTTTTTTCGTTTTTTTTTCATTAAGAATATTAACAATAGTTTCAAGCATTTGCCCCCGAATTGCCGCTATAATCGCTGCACGGGCATTCGTAAGCGATTTAAAAGCGAGTTGAAAGAGGGGAAAAACTCCAATGTCCCAAACCCCCTCAGTGATACCGGTATTACCGGTGTAGTCACACCCGATTAACCGGTGGGAAAATTTCCTCACCGTCACATCCCTAAAACTCATACAGGTTTGGAACAACTTGAGGGTGAGTAAGTGATGACTGAATTTTCATTTTTGGGTGAACTATCCCTTTAATATTATTAGGCTAAGCAATAATATTACTAGTTAAACCAATAATAAACAGATGGAGGTTTTCTGTGCTGTCTGTTGAGTAACAAATCTATTGTCTTATGCAGTGCACTGTGTGCTGTGCTGTTAAGATAGAAATTGTGGTTTTGACCTTTCATGGCTTTATTTTCCCTTGCAAAATAGTCCCTGTCTTAACCGCACAACTTTAGTACATGTGGTTGCAAGCTAGATCGAGCACTGGGAACCTGCACATCAACCCGATAAAATGTGACGTAATATATAATGTGGTTGTGGGATTTCACTCAAAAGAATGTGTGAAAAGTACAGCTATTTTGTGTAGGGGTTGAGAAATGCTGCTGTAAAATGGGTAGGTGTTTGTTGCATTTATAGTCAATTGGTATTAATTTTGAACCATATGCGCTGCATTCAGTGGAGGAAATCCAAAAGGAAATGAAGGAAATGCCATTGCTTGCAAGGGACCAAAATAGTGCAAGCTTGGTTTTTAAGGTTCTCTGTATGCTACGGTTCAAAAGTTTGGGATCTGTGAGTTTTTTCAAATATGTTTGAAAGAATTCTCATATCTGACATTTATTTATATCATAAATACAGTATTAATTATACTATTACAATTTAAATGAACCGTTTTCTATTTTAATATATTTTAAAATGTAATTTATTCCTGTGATGGCAAAGCTAAATCTTCAGCGTCATTATAGTCTTTAGTGTCACATGTTCCTTCAGAAATCCTTCTAATATGCTGCTTTGATGTTCAAGAAACATTTCTTTTTATTATCAATGTTGAAAACAGTTGCTTAATTTTTTGTGGAAACAGCGATATATATATATTTTTTTTTCAGGAACTCTTTTGTAACATTACAAATGTTTAATCTAACTGGTGATCAATTGAATGCATTCTTGCTGATTCAAATAAATCTTACTGATCACTTTTGAATGGTAATGTAAATAAAATGCCGCATGAGTCACTTTCATGACACTCAACAATACGTCTTTTTTTGGCTCCACACAAGAATCATCATAATTTGGTATGCAAATAGAGGCAAGAGTGCAGTTGCAACTCAATAGGCAAATATTACAATGCCATTACTGATCTAAGTATAAATTTGATCATTTACAAGAACAAAAACAGACAGCATAGTTAGGACTGAAATTATCTATATAGGACAAATTTGAGTGGAGTCTGTAGATTAAGGGATTTGGGCTGAATTAATTGCAGATGTTTTGTCACTGGTTGGCTTCATGATGACAGTCTTGCTGAAGGGAGTTTTTCTGCATCGCTGCTAGAGGAAAAAGAAAACACCCAGACCCATTTCTCTCCTTTCCTCGGGTCACACTTTATCAGTCCTCCTCACAAGCTTCCTGCCTCCCCCCTCACCGTGGGATCCGGTGAATCAGAGTGCCCGAGCCAAAGGTTAGCATCCAGAGTCCAGACAAAGGAAGACGAGGATATGACTCATCAACCTTTTTTAACAGCCTTCTAACGTCTGCTTTTCTACTCAGACTCAGTGTTGAGTGAAACAGACCCTGTTGACATTATCAAGGCTTTTTAACACGTTTCTGAATTTTATTGTGTTTTATAATTGCGGTGGAGTGATTGATTGATTCATCTCTGCCACAAATAGAAAGTAGCACCGTACATACTCAAAAGTACCTCCTATTGAGATGTCCTTGTGAGAGAACAGTGTGAATCCTTTGTGGATTTGTACACCCTGTGATGACAGTTTATCCAATCATCACACCCACCCATCAGGCACCGCCCCTTTTTCAAGGTCACGAAATGTAGCAGCTCTCTGTCCCTGGGTTTGGCCGTATGCCACTCGTAGCCTTGAGATTCCTCGTAGGCCACTGCTCTCAAGTGGTATCTCTCCATAGGACACACAGTCAGAAATGTTTACAGAAAGCGTTTTCTCAGTCTCGCTCCCGAAGTTTTGCCATCTCTGACGAACAAGCTTTGCCCCACCCATGTGGATTTTCTCCCAGGCCCACCCTGGTGGAGTCTGTTCTCTCGACTGTTGCTAGTTCTCACAATTTTCAACAGCTTTCCCTCAATGAATGGAGGCTTCTTAAAATAGTCCTAAGAAATATGACTGCATTGTCGTTCCTTGCATATGCTCTCTGTTACAGCTTATCCTGATATTCCCATGTGTTTCGACTATGAATACTTGTTTTCAAATCATGGTACAAAGATTTGTTTTTATTCAGTCACTGACTATTTTGTTCCAACGCAGTGGTTTTAAGAGTCTATAAGCGGGGTCATGTCCTCATCTGGAAATGTCTGGGTGATTCAGTCTCAGCCTGCTGAAAAATGCTTTTTGCCATAAAAGACCATTAACCTCCCTGCAACTATCAGCCATGTCTTTTGTTCATCAAATTTAGAGGTGGACATTACACATTTAGCTTTGTAAAATATAAATTACCAGTTGTCTTTGCATTTAGGCACAATGCTAGTATAATAATAATATATTTCATGTATTTTACATATTATTAATTTACTAGGGGTGTAACAATATGTCGTGTCACAATTTATCGCAATACAAAAATGCAACAATATGTATCGTGGATAGTGAGAATCTGTATTGTGTATAGTTCACCCCAAATTATTTTTTTGGAGAAAAAATGTAAAGTTTTAGTATCAGTACTACATTAAACTACTATATATAGGCCTAATGTATAATAATGCATTGGGGGAATATTCGTGGGTCCTGATAATACCAAATGTCTTATGTTACCAGTAAAAAAGTGGCCTACATTATTTTAAATATATCTAGCCAGTGAAAGAGTGCAAGCGTATTCGTCTAAAATAATTCTGTTTTCAGCTTCAGAATCATGAATATTTTTATTCTGCTGTTACCATTGTCCTGTGCATGAATAGGCTTGGACTATCCAACTATCCAGTAACCCAACCAGCACCAAGTCCAAGCCTATTCATTCCCACCCCCTATGTAAAACAAAATTTAGCATTTTAGTCAACAGTACAATGTTTTTTTTTGTTAACCTTTTACCATATGTCTTGGAGTATCGCAATAATATCGTATTGTGAGTTCAGTATCGTGATATGTATCGAATCGTGATATGAGGGTTTCGTTACACCCCTATAATTTACTACACGGAAAAAGACCTATTTAATCCACCAAGAATTTGATCTACGTTCCATTAACCTATTTTCTTTGCTTGTTTTCTCAGATGAAGGACTGGTGTCGTCTGCTGCTCTTGGCTGGAATTGCTGCTGTTTTTCATGCAGCCTAAAGAGCACCCATGCACACTATGGCAACAATCGGTCCATGCTCAGATGCAGAGGACCTGTTGGCTTCCATCCACCTCGAGAGGTATCTGGACCACTTCCGCCAGGCAGGCTTTCTCCTCGCCCGAGACTTCTGTCATGTGGACAATGTCGCTCTGAACAGGGTGGGAGTCACTGCCACCGGCCACAGGAAGCGTATCCTCAAACTGGTCGAGCACATTCAGCTGATCTGTCAACATCAAAGGAAAGAGCTCTTGCTAGATCGCTGTAATTCAGAATCTGCTATTCACGAGGTGACCCCTGTCAATGTGGAGCCTCTTTCTCCTTCAAGACCTCCTGGCACCTCTTTAGAAACCTTACGTAACAGCTCTGCCCCGAATCTTTGTGCACAAGTGAAGCGCTCATTCTCCGAGCGTAGCACCAGTGTTGTAAAGCCGGTACCAAAACCAAGAACTGTCTTCCACAAACTGAGAGCAGAGAAATTTTCTTTACCAACACAACATGAAGTGCAACCTCGCCGAAAGTCATCTCAGGACCTGATGGTAATAGTTGCAGATGATTCATCCTCTACTGCGTCCAGTACAGACACTGTTGAAACATTTACTGAATCAAAAAACGTTCATTGTGAACCAGGTTTGAGCAATACCACTTCAACCCCAGAGACTGGTGGAATGTTACCTCCAGTCCCCCCTAGGTTAAATCGAGGAATTCCCCCCTCCACATTCAGGAAAATGTCGGACCAGGAGCATCTCAGCACCCCACCCCTCTGCACGCCACCTGACTCCCCCTCTAGTTATCAGTGCTCTCCCTTCACCAACACACCTGGTTCACCTCCAAGTCCTCCCTGCTCAGGGCTTGAGATGGTCTCTAATGAAATCTACTGTGGCACTTTATCAGGCACTCCTCGTGTGTTTTGGAGTCGCTCTTTACCCGTTCCCCCTCCGCGCCAGGAGGTCAGTCCGTCCACTGAAAATCAAAGGTAAACTGTTAAGTCTTAATTGAAATGACATTAGGGGCTTTCGCACCGGTGGAACCTTTTCATAGTTCCTAGAACTGTTGGCGGAAGTACCCGGATTTTGGCTTGTTTGCACCACGGGAACTAGGAACGATTTTAGTTCTAGGAACTCCTTTTGGAGGAACTAATTTAGCTCCTACTTCAGAGTAGGGTCTAAACCAGCACTATAGGAACTACCAGTGACGTTAGTGTACGCTTGGCCAGATGCACGCGAAACATCACCCTCCATTTAAAAAAAAAAGCTTTGTTAATGCACAGATTATAGCCTATATATTTACTCCACAAACTAACTCTACGGACATGGAAAACAGTGATAGATGGGTCTTTTTAACCTTTACGCTAAGGAGAAAATCCAATGCAACTTTGAGGGGACCAAGCCAAACATGATGTATTTCTGCTCCGCTAGCAACACTGGACATTAACCACACGGCGTACGCTAATACCTTTTCATTTACTGGCTTTTTATGTTGTAACAGTTCTACCTAATAACGTATTAGACAGGACTGTTAGACAGACTTCCTACTCGCGGTGCAAATGCAACCAGGAAAATGTTCCTAAGGGAACTATTAGTTCTCGGGGAAACCACCCTGGTGGCTAGTTCCTAGAACTACCTGGTGCGAAAGCCCCATTGTTTTTGCTGGACATACCAACATGCCATACCATTTAATTTTGATTCTTATGACTATCGCTCCACAATTAACTAACTTTCTCCTCCAATAGCACTTTAGAAAAGTCCAACTCAACTGAAACACCCAAAAGAACGTCTGGTAGGTTTATTAACACACAAAGTGTTATGATTTACTCCCCTGAAATTTGTTCCTAACATGTATAACTTTCTTACATATCTTTTTTTCTGAACATTAATATACATGCATACATACATACATACATGCTACCATTCAAAATTTGGGGTCGGTAAGATTTTTTTTTTTTTTGAAAGAAATTAATTCAGCAAGGACACATTAAATCAACCAAAAGTGACAGTAAAGTCATTTATAATGTTACAAAAGATTTGTATTTCAAATAATTTTAAATTTCTATTCATCAAAGAATGGATATTTATTTTAATATTAATGGTTTTATCTTATCCTACAATTATTTTTTTTTGTTCAACTGGCACAGCATCTGCTGAGTACGAAGATGAAATGATCAACCCGTACTGTGAAACTGTCTTCCACAGCAAGCGACAATATCAACATTCAGAGGTGAGAGACTTGAAGTGAGCAAACTTTATTTTAGAGTGAATTTTAACTTTATGTACTCAAATGGGTGTGTTTTATTTATGGTTGAATATGTTTAGGTTGACAAGACCAAAATTGAGGAAAAGACTACAAATAAAGAGGATAAAACAAGAGATCATGGGTAAGTCCAGTTATTTCCATGAAAGTTTAAATTGGCTGTTTCCGCAAAAGTCAGCATAATGTTTGGTATCCCCACAGTGTTATCCAGCTGATCATCCCGCTAATAATTCTAGTTTGTGTTCAGCTAAAGAAAGTCATATACTGTACATCTGGGATGGCATGAAAGTGAGTAAATGATGAGAGAATTAAACATTTTTGGCTGGAGTATCCCTTTAAGTCATGTAGATGCTTTAGTAAGTATGATTTAGCGAAGTGATCTTCGTAATGTGGTTAAAGCTATCTGAAACGATCTCATTTTCGTTTTTAACGGAACGGTTTCATTTTCACCCGGAAATGAAAAATCTGTCGTAATTTACTCATCCTCATGTTGAAAACCCTAGAACTTACTTTCTTCCATGAAACGCAAACTGAGCAGTTTAGCTGAATTTCCCAGCTGCTCTTGTCTATAAAATGAAAATGGGGAAGGATGCTGTCAAGTCCCCATATAACCATATGAAAAAAGATTGCATAAAAGGTGTCTTTATGGCTCGTGCTATACTCCAAATCTTCTAAATATAATATGATAGCTATGTTTGAGGAACAGACTATAAAAAATAATAATTATGAGAAATAGTCGCAATTGCGAGAAAAAAAGACAGAATTGAGACTTTATCTCACAATTCTGACTTTTTTTCTCACAATTGCGAGTTTACATCTCGCAATTCTGACTTTATAACACGTAATTGAGTTAATATCTCGAAGTTCTGACATCTTTTCTCAGAATTGTGAGATATAAACTCGCAATTGCGAGTTATCAGGCCAATTCTAAGGGAAAAAAAGACTAACGTTTTTCCTCTCAGAATAGTTTATATCACAATTCTGAATTTCTATCATGCATTTCTGACTTTATAACGCAATTGCGATTTTATATCAATCCTGACTTTCTATCTCGCAATTCTGACTTTATATTTCGCAATTGTGAGAAATAAAGTCAGAATTGCGAGATAAAAAGCCGCAATTACCTTTTTTATTTTTCAATCTGTGGCGGAAACAAGCTTCCATAAGTTTTAAATGAATGACTAGACTGTGTATGTACAAGATGTCGAGTTGGTCACTCAAGACTTACTCATGTATATTTATTGGTGAAAGGTCCTTTATTTGCCTTTATGTAGTTTTTGTAAGTCTTTCTTAACTACAAAGCATATTTTATTGGAATGTCCAGCTTTAAATTATATTAGGCAATGCTCTTATTCAGAAAGTAAATTAATTGACATTTTTAAAAAGGTTTCTTCTGGGAAAATATATATATTTTTTTTATCAAATTTTAAATTGAAAGATTTTATATGACTGGTATTATTATTAATATTATTATTGCTGTTAATTTTTTATTTTTGTTTAATTCGTTTGTAGAGATTATATAGTTAAATAATTGTATACAGTTAATTGAAATCTTATTTTTAAAATGAGTATTGTACATTTTATTACTCTTGAGTTTGCCATGAATATAGCCTTTGCTGGTATGGTGTTAAATAATGAATGAATGAATAGTAAATAATGAATCAATAATAATAAATGAAAAGTAATACATGATAAATAAATAAATAATAAACAATAACTAAAACACATTTTCTGAAAACAAGTCTTAATATCTAATGCATTTTTAGTTTTTTTAAGGATGGTTTTTACTTGAACATGAAACTGTTTAATTGTATTTTTTTTTTTTGTATACTAATATTACTGTGCGGTATATATTTTAAACCTCCTCCTTCTACAGGCAGAACCATCACGCGTGGCTCAAGCGTCTTGATTCTCCAGGCTACTGCACTGTGGGTGAACCCACACCGGGCTCCCACTCGTTCTCCCTCCCTCATAACCTCTGCTCCAATGAAGCAGACGAGGACCACATCATCTCTCCCTACGCCAGCTTCACCTCGCTGTCCGAGCGGATGGCACCTATCCTCAGCGGCTGGCTGGACAAGCTCTCTCCTCAAGGGTACGCCCCATCGGGGCTGCTACTCTCCTCTCATCTCTGCGTCTCCTGCACGCTCCTCAATGGCTGTTTCTGCTCCCTGTCTGTCCTCTCTGGCCGGTTTGTCATCACTTCACGTGTTGTGTCTCCTGCTGTTTGTTCCTGTCCTCTGCTTGACATCTTCCAGTGTCTAGATTCAGTTCCTGCTTAAATAATTTCAGAAATGTGACCTTTGTAATGTAGTGGTTTTTCTCTGACATCACATTTGTTCCTCTGTTATAGAAACTATGTGTTCCAGAAACGATATGTGAAGTTTGATGGGAAAAACTTGATGTACTATGGTAGTGAAAAGGTATGATTGCATGTGATCAAACTCAATGCCATCTTTCCATTGTATTATTAAAGGGATCATATCATACATTTATCGTTCAGTATTTTTCTACTTTTAATGTCAAGGTTTTTACACCAGAACAGTCATAATATTATCTACCGTTTAAAAGTATTAAAAAGGCTGTACAAATATTTTGTACCATTATAAATGTCTTTACTGTCACTTTTGATCAATTGAATGCTTCCTCAGTGAATAAAATTATTAATTTCTTAAACATCTGACCCCAAACTTTGAACATTAGTGTAGTTTTTCCACCCTCCCTCTGAATTGCTTTGAAGTAAACCCAGTTTTTGCATGCGTGTACTGCAGGTTTACTGTCAAATATAGTTTTTAACTGTTTGCTCCACGCTGAGCATTGAATAGTGGGTTAAACAGCTGAACAACACTGAATGGATGTTGTTGACGTGTAAAGGCCCTTTTATACTGAACGTGAAACAGGAAAGCTGAATGAATTGATGACGAATGGTCTATTTACACCAAGAGCGAAATCTATATTCATTTTGCTGAATGAAAAGCAAATTGCCAGAACAATAGATGGTGGTGATCGACAACCAACTTCACCTGCGTGTTGAACCTTTTACCTCAGCTGGTCTGGGAAAAGTTGTTACACTTTGTAATCATTTAAGGTTTGCAAGTTAGTTAAGTTTCAATAAATCATTTTTGGGCTGGGTAGAATGGTTTGTGTTCCCACTGTTACAGTACAGCATGCTTTCATAGTAGAATTAACTGATTCATCATGATCTATGACCCCTTTAAGCACTTCACGCTGCCTGAAGACCTTCAGAATATAAACAATTCCTAAATTCCAATGTGTTTTTCTGCAGATGTCACATATGTTGGTACACTGTTATTCTTAACACAACTGGTCTTTTTCTCCCAGGATGCTTATCCCAAAGGTGTGATTCCCTTAGCTGCCATACAGATGGCCCGCGTAGCCAAAGACAATAAATTTGAGATTGTGACAAGTCACAGGACGTTTGTGTTCCGAGCTGATAATGACGGTAAGCGCAGCATTTTTCTACATTGACGCTTATGCATTTGGCAGACGCTTTTAACGACTTACGATGCATTTCAAGCTATTCAGTTAATGCATTTCCTGGGAATCAAACCCATGACCTTGCTGTCGCTCTAACAGAAATGCAAATTTAATAACAATATTTTTGTAATCTTTTTGGTCACACTTTATATTAGGTGTCCATATGTACTTATTGTGTTCATATTTTATTGCAAAAATACTTTTACTGCTATTGAGGTGGGATACGGGGTAAAGTTAGGGACAGGTTTGGTGGTATGGGTGGTTTAAGGGAAGGCTCAATAGTGTAATTATAGATTTAATTACAGAAATTAACTACAGCTGTAATTACACGCTGGTATTAAAAAAAAAAATTAAATACATGTATGCACACAATAGGTGCATTGTATCAAATGATTAATTTAAATGTTATTACATAGTAGTTAAATACGCGTATAAGGTGGGACCATCTTTTTTCATGGCTGATCATATAGAATTGGAATGGGTCTTTAGAAAGTGTTTTACTGCTTATTTAAAATTGAACTATGGCAAAAGAAACCGTATGATCCTTCTTTATGCCGCCTTGTAGTCCAGAGGAGCAAATGGTGCAGCATGTTGCAGGAGCGGGTCAAAGAACAGCTGGTTTTTGGCCGTCCACGTTTTGGCCCCGGCAGTCACTGCCAAAAGAGTGGCTTCCTGGAGCTTAAAGGAACCAAGTCAAAGATCTATGCAGCAATTATAATGGAGCAGATCTGGTTGTACAAGAGTGAGCAGGTAATTAGTTAATCGTGTTATAGCCATACTACTCTGAATTTAGTACCAGTGATTTGCTTTACCTCTTTCTTCTCTCAATGTGATTCAGTTTGAGTGTTTTAAAAGTATTCTGAACTTCCTATAGCATATGTACAATGCATTCAAAAGTAGCTTTAAATGATTTGCATCATGAAGGCTTGATAGCTAATTCTTAAATGAAGGCTTACCCTTTGTGATATGTGTTTTACAGTGCTTTAAAAATGGGATTGGAATTACTGTAATTGAGGCCAGAGGTGCTACAATTCGTGATGGGAAGGGCAAGAGCTTTGATCTCATTACTCCTTATAAAACCTTCAGGTAAACCGTTCAAGTCACGCTATGCTTATGTTAAGCTTGTATGTGTTTACTCCTATGTAATTTCCAGCACTGCAAAAACATTGTTTAATCAGTGATTTGTCTTTTCCATTTCATTTATCTTGAATTTAGTTTCTTTTTCTTACCCCTTAGTTTAAAAGAAGAAAAATAGCCAACAGGGTTCGCAAAATAAACTTAATGTATATTCTCTAAAAACAAGTCATATTATCATGCACAGCTTTGATTCTTTAAAAGGACATTTAGATATTTTTACTGGGAAACAAGACAAGTATTTAAGAAAAATGGAAAAATAAAGATTATGTGATACGTAAACATATGTTATATATTTATATTGACTCATTTAATTTTTGATTATGATTTTTTTAAAATCTTTATACGTTCAAAAGGATCTGTCAAAATATCTGTAAGATTTTTAAAATGTTTTTGAAACAAGTCACCAAGGTTGCAATTGATCAAAAATACAGTAAATCAGTAATAATGTGAAATAATATATAAAATAACTGTTTTCTTTTTTAATATATTTTATAATGTGATTTATTCCTGTGATGACAAAGAAATCATTCTAATAGGCTGATTTGTTGCTCAATAAACATTTCTTATTATTATCAAATATCAATGTAGAAAACTGTTATGCTGCTCAATATTTTTGTTGAAACAGCGACACACACACACACACACATATATAAACATAGTTGAAATAAAATCAATTTTGATTTGTTAAATTTCACTGCACACTTAAAGCAGTGAAGTCATTCAGGAGTCTTTTCTCTCTAACTAACAATGGCAGACTAGAGAGTAGAGACAATTAATAGGATCCATGAAGGCAGAGCATTAAGAGGGTTTTGTGCACCCTTGCAGCTTCACGGCAGAGTCGGAGCGAGAGAAGAGGGACTGGATGGAGGCCCTGCAGGAATCTATAGCAGAAACACTATCTGATTATGAGGTGGCAGAGAAGATCTGGTCCAACAGGTCCAACAAGATCTGCGCAGACTGCAAAGCCATCAATCCAGACTGGGCATCCATTAATCTCTGTGTGGTCATCTGCAAGAATTGCGCAGGTGTGTGTGTGACTGATGTGGTGGGGTAAAGATTTGGTGTATTATCAGATCGGTGGCGTTTATAATTAAAATTTATAAAGCACAGTGAATTCGGCTGAATTAGGCTAGAAAATTCATTAAATAGTTGGTGTGAGATATTTAGTGACTATCCGGCATGGGTGACAGCAGTGCAGTGTGTCTTGGTTAATACAGATGGTATTAAGAGTTTCTAAGCTCATTTGAGAGTTCATATGAGGTCCTCCGTGCTGTAAACTGCAGGTAAATGTGGCTCAGAGGCACCATATCAGGAAGTCTTTATGGGACAAACAGAATGAATGGTGCGTGGAGAGTGATGTGGTGCCTCTTTTGTTCTGTCTGCCTGCAGGCCAGCATCGAAGTCTTGGCACAATGGTGTCGAAAGTGCAAAGTCTGAAACTGGACACCAGTGTGTGGAGCAATGAGATCGTTCAGGTAGGGGTTGCCGTGAGGTTTTTATTTTTTTCTTCAGTGAAATGATCCTTATATTCCAGTTGATCCCCCATGATTGTACTACACTGTCTTTTACAAATAAGGCCAAGATGAACTATTATGCTTATGTTCTAGCTCTTCATAATGCTTGGCAACGATAGAGCGAATGAATTCTGGGCAGCAAGACTTCCTGTGACCGAGGAGCTGGACTGTGATGCCTCCCCAGAACAGCGGAGAGAGTTTATCACCCACAAATATAAAGAAGGCAGATATCGCCACCCTCATCCCAGTTTCAGCACCCAAGAGGAACTTCTTAAGGTAAAGGATAAACCCTTTGCACTTACAGGGGACAGATTATGCAAAAAGAAAAGAGATGAGCATGACATATCAATATCTATTTAACAAATTGGAGTTATTGCTCATTTCACATTTAAAGAGGTTAACCAATCATAACAGAGATTATTTATATATAGAAGTCTTTAAAAGTAGTACAGAACCAAATAATTAAAAAAAAGCCCCTTAAAGAGGCCTTTGCAAAAATAAAAAATCTACAAACTTTCATGTGCGCACAAGAAACTTTTGCGTGCTCACGATAAAACATCCGCATGCTCACGAGAATCTATTGCGTGCGCACAAGAAACTTTTCACGAACACTGGATTTTTTTGCATGCTCACGCGTTACAATTTCCGCTTTGTCTACTATAACCTATTTCCTTTGTGCATCACTGCCATTTTACTATGTAGAAAACGAAAGTATGAATGCACATGAATTATTAAAGATCTATTTGCTCAAAATGTGTTTTTTGTTAGAGCAGTATATCTCTAATATCACGGCCTTATGTCTGCTTTTACTCTGATGGCGCAATACGTCTGTGTGCATTGTTCTATACGTCAAGTTCAAGACTGGTACAAAAAAGTGATCAATTTGCTTTTGTTGGGACAGTATGTCATATTTCAAGGCCTTATGTCGGCTTTAACGAATTTAACTCTGTTGTCGGAGAAAGTTTAATGGTTCATAAAAAAAACATTGGTACAGTAAAAGTGATAAATTTGGATTTTGTTTGAGCAGTATTTATGTTGTCCCATATAAAACTTTTTACTGTACCAATATCTTTTATTTGGCAATTAATGTACTAAAATTTTGTATTTCACAAGATTGAAACACCCTTTATTAAACCACTTTGTTGGATTTAACGCATCCTTACAGTTGACGGAGAAATGCTGATTTTCTTCATTCAATTCTAACAACGCTTATTGCGAGCATAGCCATAGACATAAAGGACTATAAAGCGCTGTGTTATATATCTTTATCAATTCATACGCATCCATACTCTCGTTTACTTCATAGTAAAATGGCAGTGATGCACAAAGGAAATAGGTTTTAGTAGCCTATACATAAACTGGAAACTGTCAATTCTTGTGCTCATGAAATAGTTTCTCGTTTGCTCGCAAAAAAGTTTCTTGTGCACATGTGAAAGTATGTGTGTGTGTGTGTGTGTGTGTGTATATATATATATATATATATTTGCAAATGTCTGTTTAGGGGCTCTGTACAAATGTCTTATTTTATTTCACGTCTTATTTTATTTCAGGTTTTATGTTGTTATTGTTTATTTTATTTAGCATTTTAATAATAATGATGGTATTAATAATATTTATTACTACTACTACTACTTCTACTACTACTAATTATTATTATTATTATTATGTGAAATTAATCTTAAAGTCATGAGCATTTTTATATAGTAAATAAACATTGTTCTCAATAATGCTTAGTAATCATGAATGATAGGAAAGGCCATGGAAAAGTCAAGGGAATTCATTGTTCAAAAATGTGGAAATCATATATCCTTGCTAAGAGTCAGCAGTGTCTGAAGCCTTTGTGTAAACCGTGTGCAGATGTCCATACAGGTCTTTTGCAGAGATAACAGTAAGCGAATGTTTTAAGTGCCAAATAACTTCAACATCTTTGCACAATAAATGCGTTTCCCCTTCCTCTTCTGCAATAAACCCTTGATTTTGAAATACACACAATACTTCCTTAAGTGAGAGCTGCTGTGAACTATAGCAGTGGCCATTTCTCTGTGTAATAGCTAGGCTTCAAAAGAAAACTTTTAGATCAGTCCCCACTGGGGCAGTGAGGACATCCTGTCTTAATATAGCCAGAGCCATCTAAGTATTTTGCCAGCGGTCAAGCCAAGATTAGTGTGTATTATTCTTTCTCAGGACTTTACCAAGGCCATCTTTTGTGTATTTGGGCTACCTATAAGTGATGCATGTGCTGTGAATTGTAAATAATTAAGAAAGCTAATAAAAGGACTGCAATGAATAGATGGATTTTTTGGAAGAAGCTTTGAATGTCCTTTGGCTGAATGTGCTATTAGCAGTGCATTTGTTTAAGTGTGTGTGCGTATGTGGTCTGCCTGCAGGCGCTGTGCACCGCCGTGACCGAGCAGAACCTCCTGAAGACAGTCACTCAGATTTTTGCGGAAGCTGAGGCCGTTCGACTCGCTGACGCTAATGGAAACGTTAAGCGCCTGTCCCCACATTACTCATACACACAGTCTGCAGGTATGATAGAGTCCTTTCCAGTACTTCACTACAGCCATATTTCTTAAAGGTGAAGTTTGTAATTGAATTGGTACCAAACGGAACTCAAATGATCTAAATCCCAACAACAACAACACAAATCCAGACAGTTCTTTTAAAATTCTTTCTCCATGTTGCCAATGCTTTATATGTATGTTTCTCTGTACTTTAGAAAGCCTTGTAATTTTGGTCCTAGCATTTGTTGATAGCTGATTTATGATTCTTTTTTTTCTTCTTCTATATAGTCTATTGTATTTGGACACACTAATCAATTTCCTGCTAAACAGATTATTACAGGTTATCCTGCCCCAAACTCAAGGCATTGGTTGAGCCATAAGCGAACACGTCAGACCACTCAGTTTTGAAAATGCGCCACAGGGGAAAGTTAACCTATGAAAAGTTGACTTATATTTACTATATAAAATGACATACTTCACCTTTAATATATGAAAAATGTGTGAAATGCAAGAAGTGTGAAGTATCAAACTGTAATTTTCTGGATTTAGATTCCTGTGTCTATGATGAGATCATGCAGCCCATCCTGTACTCCGGATACCTCTACAAGTCAGGCTCCTTGAACAAAGGGACATTATCCCGCAGAACCAGAGACGGTAGGCGACTGTGTGACAAAAACAAGCCTTGGCAGAGATTTAGGAGCCGAATGTACCTCTGCAGTATAAGTAAAGCTGTTCAGTACATCAAAATGTTGTGTATTGTTAAGGTGCACAAAGTAATTAAAAATCATTACAAAAGTTATGATACATTAAAAAGTTTTTTTTTATAAGAAATTAATACTTATAATCAGCAAAAATACATGAAATTGATCAACAGTGACAGTAAAATCATTTTTATTATAAAATATTTCTACTTCAAATAAATGCTGTTCTTTTGAACTTTCTATTCATCAAAGAATCCATACAAATATTTATACAAAAATATTAAGTAACACAAGTTAGACATTTTTCTTCAGCATATAAACATCTCTGAAGGATCATGTGACACTGAAGACTTGAGTAATGATGCTGAAAATTCAGCGTTGCCATCACAGGAATAAATTACATTAATTTTTAAAATATATTCAAATATAAAACAGTTATTTTCGACTGTAATAATATTTCACAATATTAATGTTTTCACTGTATATTTGAGCCTTCGTGAAGATTTTAAAATGATACTTAAACGGTAGCGCAAGTGGCTTCATGATAACCACCTGATCACTGATTCAAAACAACAGTGGTCTTGAACTTTAGACTGACATCTAATACAAAAAATACAGAAAAAAAAAATACTTTTTGTATATTTAATTGCTACTGGTATACATTCAGAATGTTATATTCAGTTTGTTGCAGGTTTGTTTGTTTTTAATTACATTTTTGGTTTTATTTTTTAGCAGATTTTCAAAAGTACTGGTGTTCGGTGGAGAAGTCTATTCTCTTCTACGAGTCTGACAGATGTCATGAGCCCAGTATGAAGATCAATGTGAAAGACATCATCTGTTTAGGAGTTAACAGGCCAGATTCCAGCAACAACAGCGGCTTTATTGACAAGTGGGTGTCACTGCATAACAGAACATCCTTCAGGACACTTTCAGATTTAGAAATGGTCATCGCATCTTGCATCATAACATTTATAACAATCTGATTCTTGTTGTTCCTTTCAGATTTCGATACACTTTTGAACTTTACTTAACATCTGATAAACTGATTCAGTTTGGCTTGGAGACTCGAGAGGCTTTGCATAGTTGGGCGAAAGCGATAGGGAAGGTAAATATTAATCGGTCGCAAGATATATCTTGTCACATCAGTGCATTAGATCTCACCTCGGTTTTGCTCTCTGACAGGCCACCACACCTCTCAGCTGTCACTGCCTGCTGGCGCGAGAGTTCGAGCGAGTGGGCGTACTGCGCTACAAGGCCATGCTAGACCCGCAGTGGAAAGAAGGCTTCTTTGTTCTGCAGAAGTCCAACCTGTTCATATGCCCTGGAAATGATGGAGCCGCTGAGGATATTATAAACCTGAAACGCCTACAGGAGCTCAGTGAGTCTGTTAGCTAAATCACTGATATGATATTTCAGAGAAAACAAGTCAGCTCCTTTATTAATCCTCGTGGATAAATTTAGCAATGTATTTATCCGTCTTTGTCTTGGGTTCAAGGCATTGCATCAGAAACGGAGAACCATGAGAAGAAGGACATTCTGGTTCTTGTTGAGAAAGGAAGGTGGGTCTTTGACTTCTATTAATGCTCATTTTAAGCCAAATTAAACTTATTTCCTTTTTTTTAAAGTGCCCTTATTATGCTTTTTTCGAATATTACCTTTCATGTAGTGTGTAATAAAGGTCTGCAGAGTTTAAAAGATTAAAGTGCAGAGAAATGAGTTATTGTCTCCCAAAAGAAAGAACCGATTCTGAACTGCCTGAAACGAGTCGTCAGTAATTCCAGTCTTCTTGCAAAGACATACGTAGGTTTTTAATAAATTTGCATAATGCCAGCCTATGGTCTTCATTAGCTGTCCATGAACAACATCTATTTTGACCCTCAAACACTGTAGCTGTAGCTGAGGCCTGGAAGAGTTTGGTTCATGTTGTCAACATGTCGAGAAGACGCTGTTTTCTGCGCTGGGAAAGCAAATCCACTTTGCATGGATGAGGACTCAGGCTCGAATTGATTCGTGAAAACTGACCCCATCGCTACTGTTCGTATGCTTGTGTATCAAGTGCTGAGGAAGCTTCCGCAGACGAAATTTAAATATAGTAATAGCGTTTTGTTTCTGACATGCGCTGTAAGCAGTAGACCAATCACAACAGACTGGGCCGTCTGACCAATCAGAGCAGAGTTGGCTTTCGGAAAGGAGGGGTTTAGAGAGACTGATTCCTTTATCAAACAGTTTCAGACAATGAGAGAAAAGAGGTGATGCTCCAATGTATATTAACGTGTTTTTTGACCTTGGATGCATCTAAACCTATTTTAGGAGACCTTTTAAGTTGCGTAATATGGGCACTTTAATACATGTCCCTAATTGCAAATGATTGCATGTTATTGAAGAAAAAGTCCCACTAAAAAAAGAATGACTGTGCTTGCAGGACTCTGCATCTGCAGGGCATGGGCAGGACCGATTTCTCCCTGTGGTACGCAGACATCCAGAAGTCTGCGGGAGGGAAGGGAAACAACCTTAAAGACCAGCAGCTCAGCAGAAATGACATCCCCATCATTGTAGACAGTTGCATTGCATTCATAACACAGTATGGTGAGAAGATGATGTATTCATGTGCTTTATATTATATTCCCTGGGCTATAACATTAACATTAGAATCCAACTGATGTATAACTCTCTTACACAGGTCTGGGCCATGAGGGTATATACAGGAAAAATGGTGCAAAATCCAGAATCAAGCTTTTGATTGAAGAATTTCGTAGGGATGCCCGTAATGTGAAGCTACGCATTGGAGATAACTTCATAGAGGACGTGACGGATGTACTGAAGAGGTTCTTTCGGGAGATTGATGATCCCATATTCATGGCTGATCTTCACCCCTTCTGGAGGGAAGCTGCCAGTTAGTACAGTAAACTGCATTTAAATCTTTAAACAAAGAAGATTGATCAATATTATGGGTTATTTTCAGCATAATGTCTATGACGTGAATCTGTGGCATGCTTACTTTACTATTGCAAACGATAATTTTGATGGAACATACACCGCTGTGCAAAAGTTTTGGGTTTTTAAAATGTTTTATTTGCTGCATTTATTTGATCGAAATACAGTAAAACAGTAATGTCAAATATTATTACCATTTAAAAATGTTTTCGGATTAAATATATTGAAAAATGTCATTTATTCCTGTGATTGCAAAGCTGAATTTTCAGCATTACTCCAGTCTTCAGTCACATGATCCTTCAGAAATCATTCTAATATGATGATTTCATGCTTGAGAAACATTTATTATAATAAAACATTATTATTGTCTGTTGACCCCAACATTTTTAATGAATTGGTAACTTAGCCAGATGTTCTTCCACCTGAAAAAGACAAATAAAAAAAGTTGTGGAATTCATCTAAATGGTTTAACGATATTACAAGGTTCACATTGTATGTGTATTGTTAAATGTAAGTATATAACAAAAAATGGATTTCACAACCATAAAGTTGAAAACAACCCAGAATATTCAAATAACTGACAACACAGATACTGTATTTTGGATAGTTTGTGCTGTCTCAGTGATTTCTCATACTATATTCAGAGATACCTCTAAAGGCACAGCGCTTGGACCGATACAAAGAGCTGATTCGAGGTTTACCACGGGTCAACAGGACTACTTTAGCAGCACTCATCAGTCATCTCTACAGGTGAGTCTTCATTCTGATTCAGGTCTGTTTTTGTAATTATGTCAACTCTTATACGCTGTCTCTTCCTCTTTTTAGGGTACAGAAGTGTGCTGATCTGAATCAGATGTGCACTAAGAACTTGTCTCTGCTGTTTGCACCCAGTCTGTTTCAGACTGATGGAAAAGGAGAACATGAGGTCAAAATCATAGAAGACCTCATTGATAACTATCTGTATATATTTGATGTAAGTGGATAACTTCATGGCATGATATTATAAGATATAATATGACATTTTACTGTGTTAAAGACCTTTGCAAAAAAAGTGCTGTGGTGCAGTTATACGGTAATATCAGATGACGATACAGTAGCTAAGTACTTTGATATATCATATACAATGTAACTGAATTAATTTTGAATATCGTGCAATTCATTCAAAGAATACCATAATTATACGGTGGTACAAAAAAAACCCACAAAAATATATGGTAGTACCATTGTACATTTGGTACTTTTTGTGGAATTTAGTTTAGTTTGAATATGAATAATTTTTGTTAATAATTGTTTTGTCTTTTTTTTTTTTTTAAATGTGTTTTGTGTGTGTGTGTGTTTGATCAGATTGATGAAGAGCATCAAACTCAGATTGAACTGGAAATCAGTTTGATAACCACTTGGAGAGACACGCAGGTAGAGCTATTTATATGTAATATTTTGTAATATGTTTTCTTTCTCTTCCTATCTCTCTTTAATATATTATAAATTATTACTACTATTATATATCTTTTCTTTTTCTTGTAGCTCTCACAGGCAGGGGACTTGATTATTGAAGTTTATCTGGAAGAAAAAATACCAGATTGCTGCATCACTTTGAAAGTAAGGGATCATGTTTGAAAAAATGATAAATGCACTTGTGTGTGTATGTGTGTGTGTGTGTGTGTATATATATGAAGACGACTTCTTTCAGAAAATATGTGATATGTTGTGATGAATTTCTAAAAATAAAACTTTAATGTAAAATATTTGAACCAATTTTTCAGTTCTACATTGTGCCAATTTTGTTTTTAAATGTACACATATTCCTTATTATTATGATTAGTAGTAGTAGTACACTGACTAGTATATAGATGGACTCAAAGCTAACATATATAAAATAATATTGTAGACAAATCTTTATTTCATCTTTAGAGAAGTCTGCTTCATGTCTGTATGTGACTGATTTTTTTGACTGAGAGTTGCTGTTGCACAAAATTACCACATGGTGGCAGATTGAAACCATTATTGCAAACCCGTATGTGTCTCTCCACAGGTGTCCCCCACTATGTGTGCTGAGGAGCTGACCAATCAGGTGCTGTATATGAGAAATATTCCTCCAGGGGAAAAAGACGTGTGGATGACCTTTGAGGCCATTGAGGAAGGAGAGCTGGGTAAAAACAAAATACACCCCAATTTGCATAAGCACAAGTTTACTTTGTTCACTACTAAAATTAGGAGGAAACAGCAGAGCAATCAATGTTTTTTTAAGGCTGGGTAAAAACAGTATATAAATGCAGGATGTCATTTCTATAGAGCGACCTCTTCACCCCAAAGAGAAGGTTCTGGAACAAGCTCTACAGTGGTGTAAAATGGCCGATCCCAGTTCGGCATATCTGGTGGTGAAGAAGGTGCCTAGAGGAGAAGCTATAGACATTTTCACAGGTGAAAGCATACTTCTTTCAGAGAATATAATGAAGTGTTGTGATGAATGTATTTCAAAATGAAAACCTAAGTTTAAAATATTTGAACCAATTTTCCAGTTCTGCATTGTGACAATTTTTTTTTATGTACACATATTCAATATAATCTCTCCACTAATTTGAGGTCATATAATGTATAGAAATTTGTACTTTTCAAAAGTTTGGGGTAGATGGTATTTTTTTTTTAATGTTTTTGAAAGTGTCTTATGTTCACCAAGGCTGCATTTATGTGATCAAAAATACAGTAAAAACAGTAAAATTTTTAGATATTACAATTTACATATACTGTTTTCTGTTTTACTATATATTTAAAATCTAATTTATTATTGTGCAAAGCTGAATCATATATATATATATATATATATATATATATATATATATATATGATTCAGCTTTGCACAAGAATAAATTAGATTTAAAAATATAGTAAAACAGTAAATGCAAATTGTTGCATCCTTGTAAAATAATTTTCTCTCTGTCTAACATTCACAAGATTGGGATTTTTTTTAGTGTATACAAGAATTACAAAAAAAATTATTATTAATAAAAAAGATACAATATAGCATGACGGTTATTACTACACATCATCCAAACACAAAACTCTAAAACCATATTTTGTCACATAAACAACACTAACTGCATATTTTGCTCTCTGTATTGTTGTTGGTTTTTGACCTTGTAACTAGTGTATCTCTGTGTTGTGGGTTGCAGCCTATAAGAGTGAGATTGTGAAGTCTGGAGTACTGAAGTGTCGGGAAGAGCCGCCCAAACTCTTGCAAGGAAACAAATTCCAGGAGCGATCATTCCAAATTAAAGACCACAGACTACTCCTGCTAAAGGACAAAAAGGTGTGTGTACAGTTCATTATCAGCTCCTAGATAAAAGCCCATTACAGAAGACGGTGAACTGAACATGTCAGCGTCTTTCCCACATCACAGAGCAACAAGCCTGAGAAAGAGTGGCAACTGAAAACCTTGAAGATTTACATGGGGATCAGAAAGAAGTTAAAGCCACCAACAAAGTAAGATGCACGCTTCACAATTCTGCTTTTAGATCAAATTAACATATCAGTGAACCTTACAAAATTTGAAATAACGAGTGCATTTGTTTGCAGATGGGGATTAACGGTAATGCTGGATAAACAGCAATTGTAAGTATTATTTAAGTGTGTGTGTCTGTGACTGTGTGTCAACCAATTTCGAGAAATACATTTGCTTTGGTTCAAATCCCAAAAAATTGGGGTCGTGGCTTAGTGACCATGTGAAAATGTGGGTCCCATGGCCAAACCAGTTGAGAACCACTGCTATAGGCTTTATAGAAAGTGTCTATTTATAGCTACACTTAACCATAATCGCTCTCCTTGACCTCACAGGTACCTTAGCTGTTCCTGTGAAACTGAGTTATGGGACTGGATGACTAATTTACTAAAAGCACAGGTACAGCACATTTTAAACTGAACATATCTGTACATTCATTAACATTTCAAAGGCGTAATTTAACAATAACGTCCTCCCTCAGAACGATGACCTGCGGCCACCCGTGATGAGACGGCACTCTTCCTCTGACATTTCCAAGCAGAAGTTTGGCACCATGCCTCTAGTGCCCATCAGAGGAGAGGAGAGCAACACCAACTCCACCATGCTCTCCGCCAACCAGACTCTGGTAGAACACAACAGCGTCCTCTAGTGGCTCGGTGCATGTCATGCTTGCTTGTTTTTGCTTTGAGATTTAGCTTTTTTTTTTTTCTTTGTGTGTTTTTGCAGAGAAAGCTTCACACCAGAAGAGCACTCTCAATGTTCTTTGTAAGTATTTCTTTTTAATCTGCAGATGAATCCAATGCAGTTCATGCAATTCAGTTTTCACACCTTTGTATGCAAGGAAGTTTGTTGCCATTTGTTCAATATGGTTAGTCACAATTACTCCGATTACAGTGGCTGGTCAAAATGTAAAAGTAGGAGGAGGTTTGAAAAGTATCAAATGACCTTTGCATTTAACAAGCGCTCAAAAGTTTAGGAGTGCACTCTACAAAATAGCCTATACTTAATTTAGGAACTCCCTTTGACTTCCTCGCTCCTTCCCCCTCATTCCTGTTGGGAAACCAGGGTTTCCTGGTATGACAGGATGCGTTTGTGGGAAGAATGCTTCTACTGCATTGTTCTGCAACTGTAGCCTTGAGGGAGGGCAGGGAGTTTTGGGAAAGTGCTGCAGCCTCTGGTGTGTCCCTGCCCAAAAGCTTTCGCAAGCAAATTGTCCGCGGGCTTCATGCTTTTGTCCTCGATGTATTCGGCAATTATCTTGATGCTGTTGCTCTGATACTGAGACAAAAGTTTAAACTCAAAAAAGGAAGGAACTTGTTTTGAACATTGTTGAGGGGTGATCACTTTCTGTGCATGCCCCGCTAACCACAAATACCTGTGTTCGCATAATGGTAGATCATCTAAGCAGATATCTGGCAGATTAGGTATTTTCATGAGATAATAGTCACTAGTGTGTTCGGAACCCGTATGTTTAAGATGTAGTTCCTGTTATCTTCTCGTTTAAGAGAATGATTTGCTTTGGAACAAGGAAATCAGCTCATAAGCTTACTTGTATTTTATAAAGAGATAGCTTTAAAAGTTTGTCTGTATGGATGAGCTATACATTCAGAGCTGTTGTGAAATAGCAGAGAATAAATATTTATTTATTATTTAATCATTTACAATAGTTATAGCATAAATTTTTTTTTTTTAAATAGTAATAAATAATTAAATAATTAAAATGTTCATATAATAGTATATTCACTATATTTTATTATGGCAAATTTAAAGTAATTATAGATGTAATGCCATATAATAAGCCATAGTAATATGATGATTAGTAGTAGTGGTAGTGTAATATTATAAGGTCCATAGTATATTCACAATATAATATGGCTCATTTAATATATTACAAAATGCAATGTCATACTATAATAATAATAATAATATATTTTATAGTTTATATATTATAATTATTATTATGTGATTATATACAGATCCTTCTAAAAAATTAGCATATTGTGATAAAGTTCATTATTTTCCATAATGTAATGATAAAAATTTAACTTTCATATATTTTAGATTCATTGCACACCAACTGAAATATTTCAGGTCTTTTATTGTTTTAATACTGATGATTTTGGCATACAGCTCATGAAAACCCAAAAAATTTGCACATTTCATCCGACCAATAAACACTTTTAAAAGTGTTTTTAATACAAAAAAAAAAAAGTCACCCTTCAAATAATTATGTTCAGTTATGCACTCAATAGTCAATACTTGGTCGGGAATCCTTTTACAGAAATGACTGCTTCAATGCGGCGTGGCATGGAGGCAATCAGCCTGTGGCACTGCTGAGGTGTTATTGAGGCCCAGGATGCTTCGATAGCGGCCTTAAGCTCATCTAGAGTGTTGGGTCTTGCGTCTCTCAACTTTCTCTTCACAATATCCCACAGATTCTCTATGGGGTTCAGGTCAGGAGAGTTGGCAGGCCAATTGAGCACAGTAATACCATGGTCAGTAAACCATTTACCAGTGGTTTTGGCACTGTGAGCAGGTGCCAGGTCATGCTGAAAAATGAAATCTTCATCTCCATAAAGCTTTTCAGCAGATGGAAGCATGAAGTGCTCCCAAATCTCCTGATAGCTAGCTGCATTGACCCTGCCCTTGATAAAACACAGTGCACCAACACCAGCAGCTGACATGGCACCCCAGACCATCACTGACTGTGGGTACTTGACACTGGACTTCAGGCATTTTGGCATTTCCTTCTCCCCAGTCTTCCTCCAGACTCTGGCACCTTGATTTCCGAATGACATGCAAAACTGAGCAACAGTCCAGTGCTGCTTCTCTGTAGCCCAGGTCAGGCGCTTCTGCCGCTGCTTCTGGTTCAAAAGTGGCTTGACCTGGGGAATGCGGCACCTGTAGCCCATTTCCTGCACACGCCTGTGCACGGTGGCTCTGGATGTTTCTACTCCAGACTCAGTCCACTGCTTCCGCAGGTCCCACCAAGGTCTGGAATCGGTCCTTCTCCACAATCTTCCTCAGGGTCCGGTCACCTCTTCTCGTTGTGCAGCGTTTTTTGCCACAATTTTTCCTTCCCACAGACTTCCCACTGAGGTGCCTTGATACAGCACTCTGGGAACAGCCTATTTGTTCAGAAATTTCTTTCTGTCTTACCCTCTTGCTTGAGGGTGTTAATGATGGCCTTCTGGACAGCAGTCAGGTCGGCAGTCTTACCCATGATTGCGGTTTTGAGTAATGAAACAGGCTGGGAGTTTTTAAAAGCCTCAGGAATCTTTTGCAGGTGTTTAGAGTTAATTAGTTGATTCAGATGATTAGGTTAATAGCTTGTTTAGAGACGCTTTTCATGATATGCTAATTTTTTGAGACAGGAATTTTGGGTTTTCATGAGCTGTATGCCAAAATCATCAGTATTAAAACAATAAAAGACCTGAAATATTTCAGTTGATGTGCAATGAATCTAAAATATATGAAAGTTTAATTTTTATAATTACATTATGGAAAATAATGAACTTTATCACAATATGCTAATTTTTTAGAAGGACCTGTAGTATATTCACTATATTACGAAAATGTAATAATATAAAAGAGCTTAAATACTATAATAAAATTAATTAATGAAATAAAATAAGTAAAAAAAATGAAAATGTAATATCATACAACAAAACAAACAACTACAATACAATTAATAAACACAATAAAGTTATTAATAAAATGATTCAAATGAAGTAGTGTAATATTATAAGGTCCATATAATTATACACAATATAATATAATGGCTCATTTAATATATTGAAAAACTTAACGTCTTACTATAATAATAATAATAATATATTTATAGTTTATATTATTATGTGATATTATAAGGTTAATACAATAGTATATTCACTACATTATGAAAATGTAATAATATAAAAGAGCTTAAATAGCATAATAAAACAAATATAATAAAATAAAGGAATAATAAAAAAATACGAAAGTGTAATATGATACGACTACAAAAAACTACAAAAGAATAATAAACACCAAGTTATTTATTACAATTATTAAAATTATATAATAATAATAACAATTACAGATACATGTTATTTTTGAATAGACATTAATATGATTATTATCATTATTCACTGAATAGTGTGCTCTTATGTTGCTGTTGTTTTAAGTTAAATTCAACTTATTTGTGTAGTGTTTTTCACAACTTTTATAACTACTGCTTAACTGTGGTGAAGTAATAATGGATGGCCACGTATGTGTTATTGGTTTAATAACTCAGCTCAGTGCTGTTGTGTGAAATCTGCAGATATCGTTTTGACCTCCTGCTATGCCTTGCCATCGTTCTCTTTTTCACTCTCAGCCCATGAAGATGCAGCAGGACTCGTTTGAGGAGCGCATTGAAAGCCCCGAGCCTTTGTATGAGGAGGTGGGCGACTTCGGTCTGCAGGTGCTCAAATCTTTGGAAACGAGTTTCCTGTCCAGTGCTCCTGCAGAGACCCAGGAGGTTCCCGCACGGCCCGTCAGCCTGGGACAGAGGAAGACCGCCTCCCTGGATCGCATGGTTGGGTCAAACCCACTGCACTCTCTGTCCTCCTCTGGTCAATCTCTAGACACCCTGAGCCAGGACGACTCTCTGCCCGTCCCAGGTAGGCACAGGTCACACAGATCATGTAGCCCGCAACAGGAATTGCTGTTACAGGAACTCTCCACTATGTTCTGCAAGAAACCGGAGTCTGAAGAGCAGCACAGTGCTGAGAACCTTAGAGACTAGACAAATCCCACGAGCAGTTTGCTTTGGAACTTGAAATTGCTGTTATGAAATTGCCACGTGTATCTGTTTGAAACCGACTAGTATTAAAATGACCTGTTCATTAACATAAAACATTGCTATAAAGTATTGTGCCAAAGCAGTCACTGGATTTAAGATGCAAATCTGTGCTATAATTGTTTTGTATAAATCTGTGTTGGCATGTGCATTTGTTGACTTTGTTACACTAAAACGGACCTCTCAACATTTTAACGAATTTCACTTTTTATTATTATATTTTATTGTTCTATTATTTGTACCTAAAGATAAAATGACATTTAAGTTTCACTTTGTAACCTTTTTTAAAAATGCATTTCTTGGCTCAGTAACATTGTATTTTCTCTATAACTGTAAGAAATGAGTCGTTATGCATGTAAAGCAAAGCATCTGTGGTCTGTAATACATAATCAGTGGAAAGCATTTACAGAGATATTCCAGGACTGCAGACCGATTCAATGACTACTGTATGTGTGCATTTCAGTTCTCCTGGGACCTTGACCAGATCTTTTTATATGTATACTGTTTATTATATTTATTAATTTATTTATATAGACTATTTGATATTTCTCAGTGTTTGGAAACACAGTGAAGGAACATTGTTATCAGAAGGAAGGCAATTTCTTCAATCGGACTGTAACAGTAGAGGGCAGTATAGATACAGCACATGATGTCCGCACAATCTATGGCATTTTCAATGCATAGATTTTCACTTCTCTTTACAGGCATTTATTAAAGGCATGTGCAGTTCTATAAAGTCTCATAACAAAATAAATCTGTTCTTACCCTGAATTTTTCTTCTATGTATTTCAATAAAACATTTTTGAGTGTTCTTCCAATGTATAAATTTAGTTTTTGGCACTCATTTTCCAATAGATATGAAGCACTACTGAATTCCTTACTGTTGTATAGAATTGCTTATATGATATAGTGCTAAAATGGATTTTGTATAGTATGGTATCACATGGTTTACTCCATAAGGATACTTTGATACTTACTTTTATAGTTTATAGCATAAAAAGTTTCTATGCATTGATTAATTTTGTTCATATGTACTTCTGTGTTTTTAACATTTTAAATTGAATTAGTCTAAATGTAAATGTTTTTAGCCACTGAGATCTTCGCTGGTTTATATTGAGGTCCTTGTGTGTAAAAATAAATGCAGAGGCATCAATATCAAGATAATTATTGGTCACATTAATTAGTATCCTAATGTATTCAAGGTAAAACCACTGTATAAATGGGTTTGAGGTATTGACTTGAGTCTTCAGGTGTGGTAAAGGAAGCAGTTTGAGTAAAAACGGATTATTTTTGGTTATGAGAGCAAGCATGTAAGCCTGGCTGAGGATCAGTCAATCAAAAGTGTCTTCTGGGGAGATTTGACTTTAAGAGTAATCTTATTATCCACGCTTTTAACTGGACACCTCTGAGGTAACCTTGTCATGGAAGGGATGCCTCTCATTTCCTCTCAGATAATCTCTCTTTATGTCCAAATCAGTCAAATATCATTTTTATTTGGAGCATTTAATTGTTCCCTCCCAGGATAAATGAGAAAATAATAATAATTTTTGGATATTATATTATCATTATGTTATCTGATGCTATGGATTTTATGTTTTGGGGAAATGGGAGACTCATAAAAAAAAAAAAAGTTCGTGAAGACCAAAAGTTGAAGCTTGGTTTGTATTAAGTTGTGAGACACTGAAGCCTTTTATGAGAATACTAACAATTAAATGTCACCAATTTCCTGGAAAATACAATCTTTATTATTTGATTATATTGATTATTTGAATGTGGCTCTACAAATCAAACGCTTGACCCAGATTTGGCAGTATGAGGAACTTTCCATGATTTATTGTTATAATTATTGTTATTATGAAACAGAAACGCATATCCCATGTTTTTGTTATGAGAACTGTTTGATAAACTATTTAAGTTCCTACAAAACCAATATTTGGTCCTAAAATAACGGTTACCCATTTTATTTTAATTAATTTTTTTATTATTATTATTTCATTTTTATATTTTATATAATTTTATACTTTTTTAAAAATGTATTTAAATTTATTTCTTAATAAAAATTGCATTGTATTTTAATTGTATACGTCTGTTCATGTATTTATTTAATTTTATTAATGTCTAGTTTGATGTTTATTTATACTATAAAGTAGCAAAACTCCACAAATCAGGGGTTTCAACTATATTTAAACATATCCCAAAGCCTTGAGGTCGGTGATCAACATTAGGTTACATCTATAGGCTAAGCACCTCTTTCACATGTTGAAGAAAATAAAAACTTCATTTACTGACATTTAAAAAAAACTATTGTTTCAAGCCATGTACTCGTCGAAATATTTACATATTTTTCATATTTCGTTTTTTTTTTTTTGGTATTGGTTTTCTAGATGTTACCAATTCCAAGTTTGACAGAAAAATTGCAGCTGTAAGCTCATTCCCCATACAGTTGGCAGAACACACAGATATGTACCAGTTTTTTTTTTTTTGGGAGCATTCAGCAAGCCCCGAGTGGGAGCTCTTGTTTGAGTTGCTTTGTAAGTTTGGGATCTTTTCTAGGGAAGAAGGGACAGCAAAGACAAGCCCCAACAAGAGCTTAGGGGATTAAGTTCATTCTCACTGCCGATTCGTCACCTTCCTTGTGCCCTCTGCTAGTGGTCTCAATGTGCTGCAGTGTTTTGTGGTGGCTGATTCACTTCAGTGAACAATCATAAGAAACATCAGCTCCTCCAAAAGCAGGAGGAAAAATATCCTCGGGGTTTTAGTCCCTCATCGAATACAAGAGGACAAAAAAAAGCGCTAAATCATGAAGTTGAACGCAAGCTGCTCGGGCCGCAAGCCGAACAATGTTGGAGTATAGAAGATCCTTAGTGAACCTTTGTATCAATGTGTCAGTTCTGTACTACTTTCTGTTCCAAAAAAAAAAAGCTGATTATGAGGATTTGTTGTCAAGATTGTCAATCTAATGCTCATGTGACCCAATATGCATGGTCTCAGGACCGAAATCTCTCCTTGGTGCGACGTTATTAACTCCATGAATCAATTGAGGAAAATGCAACGACGTCAAATCATTCGAATGCTTCACTAGTCTTAAATATTCAAGCGTTTCTTTCTTGGATGTTGAATCACCTTGAAAGCTGATGTTGAGATGATGGACAGTTGTCGAGTGATGACACGGCTCGGTCTTCTTGCACTGGGCACCCTCTTGTGAGCAAACACTTATTGTTGAGTCTGTCTGTGTATGAGTACCCGCTCTGAAAGGATTCATTGAGTCCATGGATGAGTAACCTCGGGCTGCTCGCTCTTCAAAAGGATCCTCTAGTGTGTCTTTGAAAGCAGACTCCTTCACTGTGAATCTGAAGGGGGACTCTGTACCCATTTAACAGTAGTTTTGGAGTAAGCCTCACACTTGGGGTGTCTGACCCAATGGAGACAGATAGAAGCTACAAAAAGGTGAAGAAACCGCAGGCTTACCGCAGACCAGGATTTCGTTTCAGTCTCGAGGAGGCGCTGCCTGTTTCCGAGCCCCACGACAATTGGGTGTAATTGGGACTTTTGTCTGAGTAGCATTTCTTCAAAGACAAGGGAGCCTCTCGGATAACCGCCATTATAGTTGTCCTTTGGCCTGGCAATTAGGATTTGAATCAGATGGTCACAAACCAAACCCTTAACACTCGTTTAATATGACTGATTTGGGGGCGACACACAAACAATGAGTATGAGAGCACTAGTGAAAATGCTTCTATTCTGCATTTTGCTTATGTAATGTGAAATGTTTCATTGCAAATGATATCATCAGCATAACATACAAAAGTACAAAAAGTTGGGTAGCACTTTAATTTACAGTCCTGTTCCCCATGTACATACTAGCACGTAAGTGGATGTACTGTAAAATAAAGTGCAACCAAAAGTTGAATTACAAGACTTTCAGGAATTCCAGTATGTCTTCGAGTTGGATTTGCCTTTTAACGGCAGCACTCAAACGGAGTGAATGAAAAAGTATGTGTAAAACCAGATGATCATGTCTCCAAATCCTTAAACTTTGTCACTTTTTGCCCAAGTTAAAATGAAATTTTGAATATCAGATTTTAATGTGCTCTCATATTTTTGGATCTCACTCTATAATGTAGCTTCAAGGGACGCCAGAGATAGCCAAGACAAGACTTTGGAATATATGGTTATATTATTTTGAGATGCTATTTGAAGAAAAACAAGTTAGCCTATATAGTAAATAAAAACATCATGAACAATTTTAGGCCATTTTCCATTGATTTTCTCACTGTAAAAATCATATGATCAAAACATATGAAGACACATTTTACATTGCTTTAATTCATCAAAATAACAAGCAATTTTCAACAATTTTAATGTAATTTAAGTCGAAATTACTTAAATTTTTAAGTACAATCAACTTGGATGTTTAAGGCAATTTTTTTTATGCTTTATTTGATTTATATTTGCCAATGTTCAAAAGTTTAGGGTCGGTAATATTAAGTCTCTTAAGCTCACCATGGTTGCATTTATTTGATCAAAAATACAGTAAAAATGTTAATATTGTGAAATATTATTACAATTTAAAATAACTGTTTTCTATATAAATATACACTCACCTAAAGGATTATTAGGAACACCTGTTCAATTTCTCATTAATGCAATTATCTAATCAACCAATCACATGGCAGTTGCTTCAGTGCATTTAGGGGTGTGGTCCTGGTCAAGACAATCTCCTGAACTCCAAACTGAATGTCAGAATGGGAAAGAAAGGTGATTTTTTAGCAATTTTGAGCGTGGCATGGTTGTTGGTGCCAGACGGGCCGGTCTGAGTATTTCACAATCTGCTCAGTTACTGGGATTTTCACGCATAACCATTTCTAGGGTTTACAAAGAATGGTGTGAAAAGGGAAAAACATCCAGTATGCGGCAGTCCTGTGGGCGAAAATGCCTTGTTGATGCAAGAGGTCAGAGGAGAATGGGCCGACTGATTCAAGCTGATAGAAGAGCAACTTTGACCGAAATATCCACTCGTTACAACCGAGGTATGCAGCAAAGCATTTGTGAAGCCACAACACGCACAACCTTGAGGCGGATGGGCTACAACAGCAGAAGACCCCACCACTCATCTCTACTACAAATAGGAAAAAGAGGCTACAATTTGCAAGAGCTCACCAAAATTGGACAGTTGAAGACTGGAAAAATGTTGCCTGGTCTGATGAGTCTCGATTTTTGTTGAGACATTCAGATGGTAGAGTCAGAATTTGGCGTAAACAGAATGAGAACATGGATCCATCATGCCTTGTTACCACTATGCAGGCTGGTGGTGGTGGTGTAATGGTGTGGGGGAAGGTTTTCTTGCCACACTTTAGGCCCCTTAGTGCCAATTGGGCATCGTTTAAATGCCACGGCCTACCTGAGCATTGTTTCTGACCATGTCCATCCCTTAATGGCCACCATGTACCCATCCTCTGATGGCTACTTCCATCAGGATAATGCACCATGTCACAAAGCTCGAATCATTTCAAATTGGTTTCTTGAACATGACAATGAGTTCACTGTACTAAAATGGCCCCCACAGTCACCAGATCTCAACCCAATAGAGCATCTTTGGGATGTGGTGTAACGGGAGCTTCGTGCCCTGGATGTGCATCCCACAAATCTCCATCAACTGCAAGATGCTATCATATCAATATGGGCCAACATTTCTAAAGAATGCTTTCAGCACCTTGTTGAATCAATGCCACGTAGAATTAAGGCAGTTCTGAAGGCGAAAGGGGGTCAAA